AGATGAAAATTAAACGTTATAGTTTCATTTTCATACTTGGAGGAATTTAACTATTGATATAAAGCAATCATAAGCGGTGATTGTAAACTAGTTCTCAATATATATATACAAGTGACAAGTTCCGTGAACAGTTCTCTTACACTAAGTTTCTAATAAAACAACGAACTGACCGTTAGATGATAGAACCGAGTCGACTCAGATTGTGAATACAGAAGCTTTATATACATTGTCTTGAAGATGAGGGTAACTCTTTACATAACAGGGGTATATTGCAATATCAAAAATACTATTCAGAAAAAAAATCTAATAAGATATCACATTCTTTAACAATAAAAAAGATATGTACATCACATGTGTTGGGGAAGAAGGTCAATGGTAATGGCAGATCACATGTGTTTGCTTGTTTCAATACACTTTTGTTTGTTGGACCTCTTACCTTTTCTTTCTCTCTCCCTAGTCACGGGAAATATTTTTCTGACATTTTTCGGACAAGAGCAACAAAAAACTGTCAGATATTTTGCTAGTATTCTGTATGGGTTTTAGCAACTTTCTTGATATATGCTTATTGGTTAATCAATCATATTGCCCACATCAAACATACAAATTCCCAACTCCTTTCTATGTTATGTGATAACTATATTTACTTCTGTTTTAGTAAAATGTTGTGAGTACTGTTAAACACATGGGTCCTAAGAAAATATGTATATATAGAAATAACATTTAAATGCAGTTGGTTGTGAAAACGTTATCGACCTACTGGTTGACTAAAAATATCGTTTATATTAGGAAATAGGAATGAATACACCAGATTTGAAATTTGATTTCAGTATATCTATTCCTTTTTTTTAGGTTCTCGATAATTACACTTTTAGGAAACTCTAATATGTTGCAAGTTGAAATGTTTGTTATGGCCTCGTATATCATACTTTTTATAGCATTCTTTATGGTGGTTAGTATATTGAAAATTAGACTTTAAGCATATGGATAGAGTTAGATTAATATATTACGGACACATGATCGTTATGTGTAAATATCTTTTAACAAAACTAGAATTTGTTTAGTGATAATAAAATTGACGAAAAAACAAGTGATATACTGGTTATAAATGAATGAGTTCGAATGTGATATCATGCTTACTCTTTTACTTTAGTTTCAGTTTCAGTACGTTATCAAGTTTATCTACAAACAAAAAATCTCAAAATATTCGGTATTATCCAGTGGCATTCGCTGCGATTGAATATTTCAAAAAAAATTGAGGTTTTAATAGACAAAAAGTTACTATTTTAGAAAAGATGAATAAAAATGATAAAAGATCACATGGGTGATTTAAAAATAGAGAGACCATTCACCAATCTTGAGACGTGAAAATGTTAGGTAATGGCAGTTAGGATACCTTTTTGCATGTGCTCTCTCTCTCCTATTGTCTCTCTCTCTCTCTTCTTTCAGTCCTCTCTTCTCTCTTGGCGCTCACATGCATCTTACTCTGATACATATCTCCTCATATTCGGTCACTTGACCTACGTTTCACATGTGATGTAACTACGAGATACGGATGTTACACTGTTGTCTGTTGAAATGCATGTTTGGGTAGCAGTAATATAGATTTTCAAATCGCAGATTTGAACCAGTCGTTGAAATTTTAATCACTGTTCGTTCTTTGTTTGTTTTTGTTTATACTATTTAAACTGTTTACCAAACCAACAAAACTTGCAGGGTTCATTTCTTTACTACCACTACATATTATGGTAGAAGTAGTAATAAATTTTGAAAAATAAATCTACTACGTTGTTCCTCATTGGCTCATTGCATTAGTCGATCTTTACAGGTTTATTTTTTTGTGAAAAGGGCTAATCGATCTTTACAAGTTAATAATAATAAAGGTGAGTATTTAATGAAACTTAAATATCGCGACAAGATACATTATGGTCCGACTAATCACGTAAAGAAAAGAAAAATGTTTTCTTTCTTTAACAAAAAGAAATCACGTGAAAATTATTTGTGCGACTAAGGGGATTTAGGCGATCAAGGGGGGAAGATATATGACGGTAAAATATAACATTAGCTAAGGGCCTGAGGATTAGTTAAGGTTTATGCATGAGATTCTCAAAATTTCACAAATCAAAATGATATCTTAAGAAGTTGAAAAACAGTCATTTTGATTATCCAAAAGAAAACGGAAGATTTTGTTTCAAAAAGATACCGGACTTTAGGTTGAAAATGAAAAAAAACAAAGAAGGCTTTACAATAATAAAGTGAAAGTAATGATTTATTTAATACTAATTTGTTGTGAGTCACAAATTGTCTTCCGATGTAATTGTCAAGAATCGAAATGAGTAATGTTTCCGAATCTATGGGTCCTTTGTCGCGTAGCTTTAAGCCAATCACACCGACACGGTTGTATATCTTTCGACGTATGTTACGAGGCTTCGTGTGTTTGAATATTAGTCTTGCAAATCTTTGATTTTTGTAGTATTTAAATAGTAAGAAACTAACATATTTTGGTGCATGAAACCGTCCAAGATTTTGTTCAACAATTTAACTGTTTATATTTTGAAATTTTTATCACTTTTTACAAAGATTACATGATTTTTAAACCAAAATATAAGGGTTTGAATGAGTATACTACAGGGAAGTTTCTCACAAAAAAAAAATGATTATAAGAATAAATTTTCATTCCATTTTTCATAACGTTTTTTTTGTTTCTCATTGTAAACCTTTCAGACCTAACCTCATATTTTAAATAAATAAAATTGATTATAGCCAAAATATTAGTTAACCTTAATTATACTAACATAAATATCATTTTTGTTAGAGATATATACTACCATACATATCATTTTATATAAACATAAGAAAATCTATTATTTCTTGAAAGTTCTATATACATGATGAAAACACTTTATAACAAAAAAAATATATAAAAGAAGAAAGACGAGAAGACCTTTCCAACCCGTAATATGTCTTGACTCTTGATCATGGGTCGAATCATGGCATGGCCAATAAGCAACCCCAAGGACCGAGCCATATCCCCCACATGTCTTCTCTTCACTCTTAAGTTTATTTGATACTATTTATTTTGTGGGATTAGGAACACCGACGTTAAAAGCACGGAGGGAAAATATCGGAACACCATAAGGTCCATAGCAAAATTACCAAAGCAAACGTCGGTTTCAGTCCATAGATTTTGTTATAAAACTCTTACATATGCTACATTCGTTTTCTTTCTAATAACGTGCATGCAAAATTTAGAAAAAAATAAAAATAAATTGATAACGTGCATGCAAAGGGAATTTTATCCCCCAACAAAAAAAATTAGAGGCGAATTGATGAATGACACGGTGCGTTTTGAATACCAATTGACTTGGGCTAAGAAGCAAGCCCAACGTAATTTGAATAGCCTACCCTTGTTTCCTCGTTGGTCCACGTGGCCTTGTTTCCATGGATTTCTATCACTGTTACTGTTTTGTTTTTATATTTTCCTTGTCAATTAATTTGGTCTATCTACTGGTTAAGCAAAAATAATATATATATATATATATATATATATATATATATATAGACATATTATTATCTCATTAGGTGTGTAACTATATTAGTCAATCTTTTAATTAGTAGTTGATCAAATACTATGATATGTTTTGTTTGTCATCAAATCATATATACTACTAAACCTTGAAATTTATACATAATCTAAAAAATCAGATATATTAACAGAGAAATGCAACACCGTTGATTTTTAATGTTGGATTTATACCGTAGACGTAAATTAGTGTACCAAACGTAATATCTTACTCAACTTTGTTTTCAATAGATGGTTTTTTGGGGTTATTGTATTACTTTTTGGGGTCATCAGGAATATTTTTAGTTTTTGGTTTTGAACGAAGGAGAACAATTTGAAATGTTAGGACTAGTAAGAAGAAGAAAAAAATCGCAAAATAATGGACCGTGGACCGACAATCTTATCTACTATAGCTCGTTGGAGCCATTTGGTCCACCTTTAAGGTTGCGGTTGGTGTTTCATAATTCCGAATATTTTAGTCATAGTCATGTTTACAAAAAGCTCTTTTAATAGAAAACCAAAAGGACAAAAAAAAGCAAGAATTATTAAATTATCATCACCCGCGTGGGCCGTGGTTTGTTTTACCTCAGTGCCTCATCATCATGAAGTGTCGAATGAACGTTCATAAATCAAATCGAAAATCTGCTAAAGAATATGCTTCTAAATGATATCAAAATCAAACATCAAACAAAAGCAGGTCAACATCTAATTAAACCCGATTATTATATTAAAAAACTGCATCGAAATATCTTCTTTTCTCATGAAATGTTAAAGATATAAAATGTCTCAAAACTTTTCCTAACTACGACCTTACTTGAAATAGAATCTGTTACTAGTTCTAGTTTGTGTCCTACTGATGTTCCAAGTCAAGCCATAAGTTTGGGCTTATGAGTTTACGATTCTGTTTGGGCTTAATATTGACATTAGATCTAACATTTTCACTAGCCTAATTCAACAACACGTTTTGTTGAATTTGAGAATAAGTGGCCCAAATGATACCAATAGATTTCACAAATTTGACCAAAATATGCCTGCCGAAGCTATCTGATTTAGGTTCAATTCGGTTCAGGTAACAATTTATTCGAAACATGTTTTTGGTTTAACCAAACCGGATTGGGCACTCATAACGGAACTGTGTATCGTTTATATGAAAGAGAGAAATGGAAGCACATGTGTTCATAAACAAATTTAGAAAAGACCAAAGTGAAGTGAGATTCATCATAAAAGCTGTGAACCATCAGATCATCAAAACGAAGGCATGGATCTAACTGATTTAGATTCTATAAATAATACAATATCTACAGTGAGTGAGATCAAACATGAACAATCCCAACATGATCCAAAGTTGCCATAGTTTCTGTATGGTTTCTGTAACCTGCGAATCCGAGTGAAGTTGCATCAAATCCATATATGTTATTGGCATCGAATAAAAATGCGTTTACTATCGGCTCAGAGGTAAACCAAAGAGGAACATTCTGAAGAAGGCAAGGAGAGAGAGGAGACTCCCTCCAACAAGGCAAACCTGAAGAGCTTTCTTCTTCTTTCTTTGGCTTAACCAAGTCAAAGACTGAAGACTCGACTCTAATATGGATTCACCATCAAGGTAATACACCTACCAACAACAAGGAGATCACTATTAAGATCAAACAAACAAGATCTTTAATCTACATAAGACTTTGGTATGGGAATGGAAGCAGAATTTACCGGCAAGCTGTTGAGAAGAACTAGTGCAAGAGAGACATGGAATGTGCAGGTCAAGCTCCTCTCTAAGACATCCGGTAAGGATTTTCCGAAGAAGTTAAATAACCAACGAGGTTGGTATGCTGTCAAATGAACTGAATTCGACATGGCAATCAAATCACCAACAAAAACAAACGTCCCAACACAATTAGAGCCATTGAAATCCACACCAAGCCTAGAACAATCCTGTGATGAGGTTCTTTTATAGGTGATCTCCGTCCATGTCACTCCCGGAGATTGCACTGCTTGTAAACACGACTCGCCCTGAAACATCCAAATGCTTAGAAAGTGAGAAAACTGCTAATGATATAATCAAGGCTCTGAGGATATTCTCAAGTAAGAATCACCTGTGAACATACGCAGTCACTTTTAACATCAGCGTCTGATGTTGTTGACATCCATCCATCACCGCATTTGTTTAGCTTGACGATATCTCTTGCATCCAAACAAACGGAAACCTCCTTAGGAGCTGCATTTGAGCACGGCATAGGTAGAAATGGAGTGAGATCACCGGGAGGACAAACATATCGGTTCTCAACCATTTTCCCCTGAAACCCTTCTTCGATCAGAGAGATAGGGACACAGTATCCCTTCCCGTGATGAAACCTCCTTGAACCTCCAAGATACAAGGAAGCATTTGATGTTGTTTCACTGCTTTGCTTATCTAAAATCGCTGCCAGCTCAAGCCATTCGCTAGGTTTATTGACTCGTATACCATCCAAGGAGACGATAACATCTCCAGGTGACAAGTAACCAAACAAAGACGACTTAGAAGGCACATCCACAACCTAATAAAGAAGATGAAAGTATTAGATTTTCTACAGCAGATTAGTAAAAGTTAAGTACAACTTCAGAAACGTACCAAGAGGCTTTCACCGTGTTTGTAGAACGGAGACAACATCACAGGCAAGAGAAACAAAGCGAAGACGCAGAACGCACAGAGCTGTAGAAACAGAATTCAAATAAAGGTCGCTCTTTTACGCATAAACAGAGGAAGACAAAGAGAGGAGAAACAGGTAAACGAACCACTGCATTGTGCCAAATACCAGCACAGTAGATACGAAGAGCATTGAAGCTTGAAAGTGACTGTAAGAGATGGTGATCGAAAGCTACAAGACCTCCTGGAAATATAGCTGCAATGAAAACGGCAATGTACTCCATCTGTATCCCTTCACTGCCGCTCAATCAGAAGAAGCCTAAGAATTTGAGCAATCTGAGAGTAAAGCAACCCAAATCTAACAAGGAAATAGCCTATTTAAAGGTGAGAGCTTTAAAAGGAAGTAACCTCGCAGCAGCAAGAGCATGGCCAAGTTCATGAACTGAAACAGTGATCACAGTGGAAACGAATACGTAGACAATGCCGGAGATTGATATACGCTGCAAAAACACAATCGTAAAGTGATTAGCTTTATTCGAATTTTTGGGCTTAGATGTTTGTGAAGTGAGAGCTGACCATGGAGGGAGAGAATCCAAACAAGGAGGCAGCGAGGCGGTTGGAGAGTGGGTTTGGGTGCAATTGGAGAAGAAGGAAGACGGTGGCGAGGAGAAGAGAGGCGACGCCGAATCCGAGTCCGATTGAGAACCAGATTTTCAGCACGCCGGAGAATCGCCGTCCGAGGCGGAAGATGGGTTCGTTGAACTTAGAGATCTTGAGATCGCAGTAGCAACAAGAGGCTTCGCTTTCCGTGGTCCCGTTGTGTCGCAGAGGGAGGACGGAATCGTCGTCGTTCTCGCCGGCGAGGCGGTGTCGTCCGAATCTCATCCTGAATCTTCTCACTCGCCGTCCTGAGATTTCCATATCGGTTTATTCAGATTAATTTTTGATTCTCGCGCGATGATGGTTTAAATTAGAGTCGATGAGTTTAATAGCCCTCTCCGGTTAGATTGAATTGGACCGGACCAGATCAGACCACATTGGTCCGGCTATTGTCGTAATAGTATGGAAGAGGACGGTTTGATTACTTTTTTGATTAAAGTTTAGTTAAATGATAACAGCATTTGTTTACTATTTTAAACCGAACACTAAACCACGAAAAGAACGAAGTAGATTTGAGCAAAAGAAGTCAAGAACCGAACAGTGCCTTGACAATGACATAAAAGAAAACAAAATCAATGAGGTTCCAAACTTCAACTTCAGAAAGAATCTTTAAACGTAATCAGTAAATAATTGCTTTTATATTTTGATTCTTTTTGGATAATACGATTCATTCGTTATTCTTTGCACACAAGCAAGAAGAAAAAAATAATTCATTACTCATGCATATCAGTATTTGTCACTAGTAGTTTTTAGCAAATAAAGAGTTTCAAAAGAGAGAGAGAGAGACCTCGTTTTTCTTTTTCGATTTCCTGAATAATCGAAACAGGGATATTACCATATTATGATTTTATGAAGATGCAACTTCACCTCTATTTTCTTTTTTTACACGAAATGAAACAACACTAATTTTGGAACCCGGATAAAATTTAAAAAAAAAAGGCAAAATAGGACAAAAGAAATAAAATTAGTGGGAACTTCTTGTCGATAGCTCGCTCAGCTGGTACTTGTTGGCCCATTTCGCACGCGCGCATCACAAGCAAAGTTACACGTGTGACTTCGTCCACTCTTTTTATTTCTCAAAAGAGAAACAAATCGAAAACCACAAATAAAGAAGAATTTACTCGGAGTCGGTGTCCAAATTCTCCATACCTTTCAATCCTCTCCGTTTCTGCTGCTGCAATTCAATAAAACAGTTTTCCTTCCCATTAAAACCATACTTAAACTTTACATTTGTACGTAAAAATCATCATATATCCAAACCTTTGTTAGCCAGTAAATTTGATCAAGATCACTCGGTAAAAAACCCTTGAATAAACAATAACGTTTTTAATTGACCACAGTCACACAAACAAACAAGAAGATCAAATAGTTTTTGACAAATTAAAACCAGAACAGAAAAAAACCCAGTTGGGTTTTATTTTTTTATACTATTATATTTTGTTTCTAACAATTTCTAAACTAGTGTTCTTGTCTCTTTTCCTCAATAATTTTTAAAAAATAACCAGTTCATTATTATTCTCCATTAGGTGGAATAGTAGGTCCCATGTCTAGTCCATTTTCTTCATTTCATTAAAATACATTTTATGTTATTAATAATTAGGTCCACCCAATTTTGTCTACAAACTCACCACCCCTCTGCCACATAAAATATTATGTAAAATATAGAGAACTAAACCCATATTAGATTCATCTATAAACACATTCCATCTTTTCTATTATAATCTTTACTTATTAAAAGAGTCTTTAAGCTATTTTGTCATTATCACAGAACTAAGAACTAAAAAAGGGTTTAGTTAAGTTAAATTACCTTCTTCACGTTTTTCTTCTCCCTAACTTCATAACGGTTCTTGGTCAAATCAGATAACCACATCCCTGGAAAACAATACTGTCCAACAACACAACACACAAATTAACAAAACTTTCATTTCTAATTTGTATAAAAATGAAAAGACTTTATATTTTTAATTAATTAAGGAATCTACCTGGAGGGATTTATCAATGTTCTTAGCTCGTTTCCTGGGTCTATGAGGAAGCTTTGTTCCTTTCATAACCAAGAAATCTTCTTCCTTCTCTTTTCTAGACAAGGCAATGTAGATCCTCGGCCACTCTACCACTTCCACTTGCGTTGCTTTCTCTCTCTCACCATTGCTGTTTGTCTCCAGCTCTTGATGACCCTGAGCCGTTGATTCTGATCTGTTCACTCTTTGATGTTGCTGATCGAACCCGTTTTGCCTCTGGCTCTGATGATCTCTGACGCTTGATCTCTTCTCGATTTGCTCAGGAGACGGTGGAGATCGCTTTGAGCCGGCCGATCTGGATACCATACGGCCGTTGTTGATGTTCCTTGATGGTGGTGATCCGTTGGCTGATCGATCTTCTAGATTCCTGGGCATGATGATGATGTACAAGCTTAAAATCCACCAGGTGATTTTGTATTTGGCTATTTGCTAACCAAAAAAGTTAAAAAAAAGTTCCAGACTTTGAAAGAGTTTTAATGAAATGAAGAAAGCTTCTCTTTTTTTCTTTTATATTTATTGATAGACTAACCCATTACATATTTTAGGAATCAGAATCAAAACGCAGACACCAAAATTATTTTTAAAGAGATTTTATCTTAAAGGGACCAAACAGAAAAATAAGAAGAAATCTAAAGATCAATGATAAATTTTCAAACGAGGAGAGCCATCTCTGAAGATTGGGTCAAAGAAAAATTTCGAGATCTTCTTATTTAACAAAAGTCTTTAGTATTTCACCCAAAAGCTACAAACAAGCGAGAAACCTAGAAACAGAGAGACTTGGGAAAAGGCAAAAAAGACATAAAAACTCTGTTTCTTAGAGCTTCCAAGGGTACTAGTGTAAATTCCAAAAAAGAGTTTTGGATCACCAAACTTTGGTAAATGCTTTAACAGAAGATGAATGCAACCAAGCGTTTGGATCTCAAAAAATCAGAAATACCGAATAATAAAAAATAAATCAAACCCGAATATCCAAAAATAGCTAAAAAACAGTACTTTATCACATAAACACAGATGAACAAAAAAAGAACAGAAACATATGGGAAGCTAATGAAGTCACGTTCAGAGGAGAGAAACTAAAACAAAATTTTAAGTAACAATTCTGTAAAAAGAGACAAATAGCAAATTGATTCTTACATTTAAGGTAAATAATATAACAAAAAATGGACCGAGAGATATGGGCTAAACCTGGAAGGTGAGAATTCCTTGCCGCCGACGAAACCGTTTCTAAGCTTTGTACTCCGGCCGGAGAAAGCCGGCGGAGGCGGTGCCATAGGCGAGGTCACCGATCTTCTTAAGAGCTTATTCGATTGCATCTTACCTTGTCCTGAAGAAGACGAAGAATCATCGGCGGTTGTGGTGGATCGGATCTCGGCTCTCGAGATTCTCGATCGCTTTCGTTGTCCCCACTGTAACAGCACTTCTCCGACGCGGCCGCGGCTAGTGGTGGGATCTCGTTGAAGGGGGGATCTGAATCGGAATCCTTTGGGGACTCCGTCTAGAGATGAGCTGGTTGTGGTGGTGGTTGTGGTTGTGCATGATCCGCCGTTGAATTCTCTTCCGGCGATCGAGGTCGTAGTAATGGTGGCGTCAGGCTTCTTTCCTCCATTGGTAAGAGGAAGACAATCGGGACTGACTCTCTGATACCTGATCAAAAACGAAAATCTGATCAAAATTCCGAAACGAGAAGGAGGATTTAACTGTGAAAGATTGCGAAATGCGTCTGTGTTCTTTGCTAGCTTTTTGAAGTGATCCAAATCAGAATTTGTGGGAGAAGCTCTGAGAATTTTGTTTGAAAGCCCAGAATTTTCATAACAACCTGGTTGTTGGATTCATTTCAGTGATCAAATTCAAAAAACTGGTGCATCTATCGAAGACGAAATTCGGAGACGGAGATTAAAAGGTTTGATATTAGAGTCGCAATTCGCAAACACCGTGAATCGAATCTAAAGTTTTTCAAATCAAACACAGATCCATTAGAAAATTGAAAAACAACAAAAATCCAGAAGAAGAAGAAGAAATGGAAATAGTGAAAATTCCGATGGTCAGCTTTCCGTGAAGAACGACGGCGAAAATGGAAAAAAAAAACTCAGAGAGGCAAATAAAGGAGAAGAACGGAGACGAAGAAGTAGAAGAGAAACCTCATCATTATACCCAAGTGAAAACCCGATTCGAATTTTGTAATGGTAGGTTTCCGGTTTCCGATTTCCGATCTGTGATTAATTTTCAGAAATATAGGATTCGTTCAGTTCCTCCACGCCCATTCTTATTCCGTTTAAACGAGGATAACAAAACACAGCCTCGTCATGCTTCTCACCCCGATCACCGGAATCAAAAGACCTATGGAGGAGAAAGAGAATGAAACGAAGAAGGATATGATTTTGTCGAGAGAGAGAGGAAGAAGAAGAAGAAGAAGAAGAGCAGAAATGGAGGCTCTGCGTGTAACAGTGATGAGGAGGAAGAAGAAGGCGGAAGGGAAGGAGAAAGATAGTGGGTGCGTTATTGTGGCAAACTTCTTTTATTCTTTTTCTTTTTCCCAATCAACTCCTTGAAATTTCTATATACTTCCAATTCGCAACCCCATAGTTTCCTCTCGTCCATCTTTTTCACGTCTCGAGACCCGGCCCATCACAAGGCCCACTCTAGTCTCTTTCCTCACCAACGTCTGATCAAAAACGTGTCCGTACCAATTTGACGACAATAGACCCAATTCTGAACGTGACGCTTTACATTACAAGCTTGCTTGTAAATTAGATGTTTAATCGAACCAGAGTTTGATTATAAAAAACTGAAATAGAAACCAATTTTAGTTGACAAAATACACACCAAAATAAAACAAAATGATTACAAAACTGAAACTGAAATGATTAAAAACTGAAACTGAAATGATTACACCAATTTTAGTTAAAAACTGAAACTCGAACCAGTACTAAACCGAATTACAAAATGATTTTACAGAAAACTGAAAACCAGAAACCAAACAGTAAACCGGACTTGGCACTTACAGGCAAAGTAGTCTGCATCCAAAGATTGATCTTGCATTCAAAGAAAAAGTTGTCACAATCACAAAGTTTCAGAGCATCAAAGAACATATATAATCTACCAGAGAAGGCAAAAGAAGTCTCCTTTATAATCTCGTCATTGCGCCTCATAAGTAAATTCCGAGTCTTGGGGTAAGAGAAGTTCTCTTTCGGCTCTATAGTTCTGGCTTAGTGGAAGAGCCGTGGAACAGATCTTTTAGGCACTTTTCCTTCGAGCTTTAGTCTTCGATACGACTCTCTGATATGGCAAGGTCTTATAGGCCCTGTTTCTTTCCTCTCCCCCATAACAACTCGAGCTATAGATAAAGTTTGAGATCAAGCAAGTGAGATTTCTTTTACAGAGTAAACAAATTTCATAAAGATAAAAGTTTCTTCGCATCTTTACCTGTTTCGACGAGTTCACCAACAAACATCTTTGTGATTCCACACGTAACGATTATTATTGGCGTACTGATCTTCTGACTCCCTATTACACCCACTAATAACTGCATCAAGAAAAGCAAACACACACACAAAAAGCTAACGGTTCATGTTTGAAAACAGAATGAAGAAGCATATTGTTCAACACGAAATCACATATATATGCATTACCCTCTTCATGTTTCCTTTCTGCAGTGCAGATCTCCTGAAAGATTCATATCTGCTCATTTGATCCTCAGTGAACTGCGATAAAATGATCCTGAAACAATCATCATGCTCAAGATTTTAGTAAAGCTAAGAATAATAAATCAAGAAACAGGAAGGATAATATTAAAACCCAAAAGACTCAACTGCATTTTGGCCATCTTAGCAGGATCAGCACTAGTTGGGTATTTGGTTAGCTCAACTTCCATATTCTCTTCCTCTTCTTCTTCATCCTCATCTTTGTTCTTCGCTTCAGCGGCAACCGACGATTTAAGCTTCTTCGGCTGACGGCGAACACCTACATCTCTCTCGTCCTCTTCCGGAGTTTGCTCGATTTCGGCTCGACCCTCGACACTACCATCGCCCCCGCCTCCTCCGCCGCCGCTAGCGGGTGATTCCGGCGGAGATTCCTCTTGCTCCTCTTCGATTGCTGCTTCGAACGGATCCTTCGAATGCTTCATTTCTGATCAAACCTAAACGAAAATCAAATTAATCGAATCTCAAACTCCAATTGTAGCCGGTTTTAGTCTCACAGTGACCACAGTAGAAAAGATCCCAATTCGGAGAAATCAATTAGGGTTTCAAGATGGGAGTGAGTTCTAACGCAAATTAGACGATAAAAAGCGAAGATCATTGACGAACCTCGAGAAACTCAGATCCAATTTCAGGAGGCACGAATCTCTCGACCGTTGTTCACAACTGAGAGCTCCAATTCCAAATTCCAGGCGGAGAGGAGGAAATTGTTTCGCTTTATAGTTTTCATGTGGTTTTGATCTCAGAGTGTTCTAGTCGGTTTAATCTAAACTGATGATGAAACCAAACCAATAATATGAACCGGATATTATTAAACCGACCAAATCATTTGGCGGGTGTCCGGAATTCGGACCAAAGATTGGGCCTATACCTACTTTCTTAGCCCTAATTTTTCACCTTTCTTACATTTTGGACCCTAATATTTCCCTTTTACATCATTCACCCCCATTCGCTTCTTCCCCAATTTTCTTGAGATATATCTTGCAAATATCCATCGTCAGTTCTTTTGTTTTCCTGGTTTGTTACTCGCCAAAATGTCAGTTTCATAAAATTCATAATACTCACTGATACTATGATTAAAAAGCACCAGATACCAATTAGGTATTTAGGTTTAATGATCATGATATTCTAACTAAGAAATACCAAATATCTATGTGAATCTTTTTAAAATTTCTCAACGTGCTTAAAACCGAAAAAAAAAAATATAGTTTGTGGGCTCAAACGTGTAATTTTATATATAGTCCATTTAGCGATCTTAAGGTATTAGCTGATGAACAGAGATTAGTGGGTTGTAAAATTATTCATTTTAAATAAATGTTTAGACAAAGTTGTAAAATATTCATCGGATTATTCATTTGAGTTGTAAAATTCATGTAAATACACAAAGAGTGATGTATCATAACTCTCAGATGGCCTCGCAGAAGGATCAAGGATCGGTTTGCTTAATGGATAAAAAGGGTCTCTGCTTTTGGAAAAAGCCTTGGACTATGTCCTTAGACCGCATGCTTTGAAACACCTGGCCTGCTGCTGTATCAAGTCAAATAAGAGAACTATAACGTTTGAATGGAAGATGACTATCATCGCTTCTCACTTCAGACTTAGATGTGGTTACAAGCAAAGAGAAAATCTGAATCCGAGAATGGAGCGAGTGGGGTAAGGAAAGGCGCAGATGGTCTGACTATTCATAAGGTTTGCGATCTTAGGTTTACTACTTCTTCTACCGGAAAACAAAGCTCTGCTGGTGCTGCTTCTTCTCCTCAGCCTCTACCTTCTTCTGCAAGGAATCTCTGTTTCTCTTTGGTTGTGTCATTGTTGTTGTTGTTGTTGTCGTTGATGTGTTTAACGATCTTACAGTGCTGATTTGTTATTGTTTTAAAGATCTGTTGTATTACAGTTCTTATGGACGCTGTTCAAAAACAATTTTATGATTGGTTATATTAGAAGGAAGAAAGCACACGTAAAAATCAATCCAAAATGTAAAAACCCAAAAAATGGACCAAGTAGCAAGACATCATCACATGAGAATCTTGATATGACTCTAGCTAGAGATGATCTTGGACTGAAGAACTGTTTCCATTTCAAAACATTCTAGGACCCAAATTGTTCTTCTCTTTACTCCAATCCAAATTTGAAAGTACTTAGGAAATTAGTTTCGCCATAGAACTGAACATTTGCTTTAGTTCAAATCTTAATTAAAGCCACAAAAAAAGAGAAGTTGTCTTTTAACTTAACATGTGAGACTTATTTTGGAAAATATGTGTACCATGTTTGAGCATTCCCCTTATCTATGTCAACATTACAATTACCTTTTTATGCAAGAAAGCTCGGTGTTTTGTAATGACTTGTGGTTAATTACATATTTTATGGATTTTTTAATTGGAAAGTATGTGTTAGAGAAGATAAAGTTATATATTGCATAAATCAGACACATAATAGGGTGAAATAAATATGAGAGTAGACAATCAATTCATATAACCTAAATAAACAAACTAACATGACACAAAAGAATAAGAAGACGAATTGTATTCTCAATTGATTATGCCATGCACGTAAATTGTACATGAGCTGATGGATGGCATCAACATAGATTATTTGTGTACTTGATTTGATTTTTCACTTTTTTTATTTCATGTAAGATTGTCACATTTCCATAAGAATATGATTTCGTTTATCCATGTTTAATTACCGCCGCCATTTGCTCGTTCAACTCTTGTTTGTTGTCTCAGTATTTTGTATATATATACATGCTTAACCTGTTTACAAATAACATGTTATTATTTGTTACAAATTCAATTCTCTAATATTCATCAATCTAAAGATTATGAACCTCAACCTTGTATATCAATCTGATCGGTTAAGTGTTTGGTACAAAGTGATTGTACTTGTAATTTGATTATCAATATCATCTAAATAGCATATCATTACGCTTTTTCTAAACCTAAATAGCAAAGAACACCTTAGTGACTATATTTTATTTGATATTAAAAGGGATAACTAATCTCTCACATCATTGACAATTTTTTGGACCTAAAGTTATGCAACAACGATATATTAGGTCACGAAGATAGAATCCTAATTAACCCACTTTTTTCTCCTCAGTCTCAATATAAACTCAGATCACCAAACCATCATTACAAGTTTACAACTCTAAAAGAACTCTATAAAACACAATTAACACAACAAAAATATTTAACTTATATATATAATATTAAATCACTGCATTAGAAAGTATTGGGCTGTTTAGCTTGAGAGATCATCTGGACAACCTCTCTCATGGTCGGTCTCTCAACACTATGTTCTTGAACACATAGCATCGCCACAAAGAACAGTTCCATGGCTTCTCCTAATGGCACATTGCTCAATCTCTGATCAATGATCTTCACCACACCTTGTCTATTACAGTTTGTCTGAATCTTTGACCATTGCACAATGTCTATCCCTTCTTCTCCAAAATTATCTACCGGTTTTCGACCCGTTATCAGCTCCAACAACACTACTCCGAAGCTGTACACATCGCTCTTCTCGTCTATTCTTAGAGTATATGCGTATTCTGTTATTGAAAAATCAGAAGCGAACGTTAAACATTAACTAAACAATAACCTAAATGCCCAGCCATAACTTTGAATGTTACGTGTGACGTAAGAAACGAGTGATGGGAATCAGTAATGTACCTGGAGCGATGTAGCCGTATGAGCCAGCGATGGAGGACATACACTCTGAAGCTCCATTGTCTTGCATCATAAACTTAGCAAGACCAAAATCAGCAACATGAGCTTCAAACTCAGGACCCAACAAGATGTTGTTTGACTTCACATCGCGGTGGATTATAAGCGGCGAGCAATCGTGGTGAAGATAACACAGTCCCTTAGCCGCTTCCAACGCTATTTGCAACCGCGTTTCCCATTTCAAAAACACTCCAGCTTTCCCATGCAAGACTTCTCCGAGGCTACCGTTAGGCATATACTCGTAAACAAGGAGATTCACGTCTTTGTTTGAACAAAAAGCGAGCAATCTCACTATGTTTCTGTGTCTTATTTGACCTAATGTCTGAATCTCTGCGGATAAACCGTTGTCGTGAGATGATCCTTTGCTTATGGTTAAGAGCTTCTTGACCGCAACTTCTTCTCCGTTTGGCATCAAGCCTTTGTAAACAATCCCTGCACCGCCTTTACCGATCACATTGTTCTCTTTGACACATTCTAAAATGTGTTCGCTTCTAAAACCAAGCTTCTGAAACCCTATGAGCTTCCATATATTCGAGCTGTTCCTTCTCATTCTCCGACTCTTGACCACAGCTAAAACCACGAACACCAAGGAAAACCCTAGCAGGCCTAAACCGAACAACAGCTTGAATCTTGCGGAGATTTCGCCGTGGGAATTTGCGTTTTTCTGGTTAAGAAGCTGAGACTGAGACTGGTTTTGGGAACCGCTGCAAGGGTTGGAAGAACATCCACAGAGAAAAGGGTTTCCGAGGAATGACGTGTTGTTGAAGTAATAGAATTGCCCTGAAGTTGGTAATGAACCGGAGAAGTTGTTGTGTGAGAAATCTGCTGATGTTAAGCTCTTCATGTTTCCGAATTCCACAGGGAGGCTTTGGTTTAAAGCATTCCAAGAAACATTCAGATAGTTTAGAATCCGAATCTGCGAAATCTGAGGTGGAATCTGCCCGGAGATTTGGTTATGACTCAAATCTAAGTATGTGAGTGACTGACAATCACCAAACTCAGGAGGAAACTTGCCTGAGAAGTTGTTTCTGCTCATGTCAATCTTGAGAAGACTCTTCAAACTTCCGATCTCACCGGGGATTTGTCCAGTGAATCGGTTTGCACCAAGAAACAGAATCTGAAGACTTCTTAGGTTTCCGATTGAACCAGGAACCGGTCCGGATAACCGGTTATTGGAGAGATTGATCTGCGTGAGGCTTGATAACCGCTCATTTCCCGCCTCTTCTTCCGGGATTTCTCCGGTCAAGAAGTTGTTCTGAAGCTCGAGAAGCGCAAGATTCGGCAGATAAACCAAACCATTCGGCAATTTCCCTGTCAGGAAGTTCTGACCAAGACGGAATCTCCAGAGCGGCTCGCATTGGCCAAGATCTTCAGGGAGAGGACCGAACAAGAAGTTGTTGAAGAGAATGAGAATCTTTAGCCTTCTTCCGAAACAGAGCGAGTCAGGGATCAAACCTGTGAGCTTATTGGTAGACAAATCGATCTCTATCAACTTCCCGTTTGAACCTAGCTTTGCAGGAATCTTGCCGGTGAAGTTGTTGTGCCAAAGCTTGAGGATTTGAAGATCAGGAAGCTGAGACACGAACTCAGGGATCTCGCCGTGTAACCTGTTGAAGAAGAGGTTGAACAGTTGAAGCTTTTGAAGTCCAGATAGCTCCAGAGGAATCTGTCCTTGTAGAAAGTTGTTGGAGAGGTCTAGAGTCTTGAGGCTTGTCATGTTCCCTAGCTCTCTTGGAACAGAGCCTGTAAGCTCATTGGTCTGAAGAAACAAAACCTCCAAGTTCTTGAGATTCCCTAACTCTGGAGGGATCGATCCTTTCAAGCTGCAGTTAGCTAAATCCAGATGAACAAGATTGATCAATCTCCCGAAATCCGGAGGTATCCCGCCGTGGAAATCGTTGAAGTAACCTAAGTAGAGCTGTTGTAGAGTTGTGATGTTCGCTAGCTCGTTAGGGATCCTCCCATGGAGATCATTTCCAGATAAGGAAAGATACTTGAGAGTCAAGAAACCTCCGTAGCTTCTAGGGATCTCACCGACGAAGAAGTTTCCACCGAGATCTAAGTACTCGAGACGAGTGAGTTCGGTTAGAGAGAGAGGGAGTGATCCGTTGAAGCTGTTGTCGTAAGCGTCGAGATGCACGAGCTGAGTCATTTGACTGAACCCTTGTGGCTCAAGCTCTCCTTCGAAGGCGTTACTTGAGATGTTCAAGACTTCGAGATTGGTGAGCTTATAGATCTCTTTAGGGATCTCGCCGGAGAAAGTGTTTGAAGCAACGGAGAGGAACACTAGAGACGACGAAAGACGGGAGATTACCGGTGAGAGAGTGCCGGAGATGTTGAGGTTAGAGATGTCGAGACGGGTAATGGACTGGTTTAAGCTGTCACAAGAAACGCCAGTCCAAGAACAGAGGGAATTGAAATTTGGAATGTTCCATGAGTCAAGAGAAGGATCATAGGAATCAAAGCTTTGCTTTAGAGTGACAAGGACTTGTGCTTGTCTGATTAGTGAGAGATTAAGAGATGAAATTGATGAAGAACAGAGGAGAGGAGAGGAAAACAGAGAGATTGAAGACAAGATTAGGAAGAAAGTGAAGATCTTGTCTGCCATTAATTGTAACATCTGAAAAGAATATAAATGCAAGAATTTTTCTCCGACACAAGTTCTGAAGTTCAGAGAGGTGAAAGAGAAGAAGGGTCTTGGAAGAAATTGCAAAACCCTAGAGAAATCTGTCGAAGGAGATCATAATCATTAGACATCATCATGCTTTACTGTTTTTTTTTTTAAAAATATTGGGGGCTCACTATGTTCTGGAGTTGCTGCTGCTTATAGTGAGTGGAGTGAAGAGGATAATCATCATTTCAAGCCTTCAGTATATATTTTTTTTTGTGGAGTACTAAAATTGTGAAAATCATAATTGAAAATTTAAAACAAAAGTGAAAAAGAAGTTGCAGTATCCAATGCATTCTTCGTCTTTTGGATTGAGCTTTAGTTTTTTTTTTCTTTGTTGTTGCTGAGTCTTTTGCTTTTGAGAAAAGTAAAAGCAATATATATACTTTCACAAAAGATGAGAGTACACACATCATCGCTTTTTCTTTAATGGAGAAACAAATAAAAATTAAAGATTAGTGCCTATTCCTTTATTTTTACCTTCTCTTTATCTTTGATTTGATGTCTTTTTTTTTTTCCATTTGTATCTCCTAATTATTGGGATTATTTGATTAATGTTTCATATATGCAAACAATAATCACATAATTCATAAAATTTTAAGAATTTTTGTTTTTGTTTAACTTAATTGGATGAGTTAATGATTTTTTGAGTTGCAAAAACCAAATAGTAGAAACAAAACATGTTGTCATCCAACACCAATCTTACTCTTACCTTAGTCTGAAATCAAACATTGTCTAGGACTAGTAGTTGTGGTGTAAGTATTTCAATTTCCAGCTTATTGTTTGAAGATAGATAAATAAATTTATAATATATATCATATTACCACATGTTGTTAATTTTGATGTAGCTCCAACTGTCTTATCAATTTTGGTTAAGTTCAGGTTGATTCAGCTACCAACTAGTATATAAATCATATATTTACCCTAAATTATGGAATAAACATCGTACCTTTATGTCATTTTAACGTTTTATACTCCATTAACTAAAAATCAAAAATCTAATCCATCAGACTGAAGAGGCCATGCATTGTCTTTGTCCAGCCACTAAACTAGGACAAACCAAAGTAACTAGAATCTTTGGTAATTGTGCAGCTCTTTTTGTTTTTTGTTGTTTTAGAAGAAATTAATAACTTCTCTGTCAAGGATTCTGTTTCTGTACCCAATGTTTCATCAGCTAAAACTCCTCGAAATTTTCACACCATGAACCTGCAAAAAGATGTATATATGTATGTGCATGCCAATCTGCAATTATTATCGAATTATTTCGTAAACTCCCCTTTACGATTATTTTTCCCCTTTTCTAAAATTATATTTTGTTTTTCTTTGAAAAAGACGCATCAGATCTATTAGATCAACTCTAGAGTAAGTGAATACCGGTGTATGATATAAAAAGAAACTATTTAGGTTGTAAGAATAACGTCTATAACAGGTAAACTAATTCATGGTGGTACAACGGTTTATGATTCATAGTTTTCATGGTATTAGTTGCGACAACTGTTTTAATTTTTTTTTTCGCACACTGTGTTCTCAAATTAAGTCTATATAATTAACCTTATACTAGTAAGTAAACAATACAGCAATGGGTCTGAACTTCGAAAACTCTTGGCGTGGAAAAGTGTGATAAAGAATACCTTAATTTAATTATTTATTAGTGGAAATCCAAACCAAATCTATCCATCTTTTGCTGTTTCATGGGCTCTTTTTAGTTTATTCGACTTTGTTTTTGGTTTTAGATTATATATAGAGATGGGATGCCTAAAATTTGAGAAGAACAAAGAAGAGGCCCCTCCCCATTAACTTTGCTGGCTTAAAGTGAAAAAGAAAAGCCAAAGACAGTTGATTTTTAATTTTGGAGCATGCTACCTTTTTTTTTCTTTCTAAAATGAACGTCTCAATCTTTTACCTTTTAATTTTCATCAAGCATACGAAAACAATCAGAAATGAAAATTAAGAAGAAAAAAACACCTTATAGTATATAGTTAGTTCGACTAAGAGAAGTAATAATTGCTCGTCTGGTTTTAAATTTGAATATACAACCCTAAACATTCGTTTCTAGTGACTGACTGATGAGAAATACAAATGTTGTCACGGGCTGGACTAATCTAAAGCTGGCATCATTGGCTATAAATAGACTAGTGAAACATGTTTTTTCTTATGCTAGGTCCGGCTTACTCTTTTTGACCATGCAGGGTACTATACCACCACTACTAACGATCTAAAATATGTTGGATGTGTGACCCATTTGGCTGATCCAGCCATGAACGTCACTAAGTTAATATATTTGAATCGATTTTAAACCAATTATTAATTTATATATTTGAATTCAGCCCACCATAACACCATTGTTTAAAATGCATCAACAACGACCAATAAAGAACCTAATAACCATTATTTTCTGTTCATATATGTTTTCAGGTGGATGTGAACTTTGACGTGGGAGGAACCAACGTTTCCATAAAATAGTACAATTTCATTTTTCTAGGGATTAGAGTTCCCACTACTGTACGTACATCTCAACAATTTTGTTGTGTGCATGTAATTTAGAGAATCGAGACTTAGTGGAATGGCTTCTCTTCTTTTCCAATTTCATAACTTTCTTAGTGTATGGCTATGTGCTTTCTCAGTTGGAAAACTTTCTCAGCAATTAGCAAATGGCTATGGTTTTGAATTGAGACTTTATGGAGTGGCTACTGGTTTCTTTTTCATCGTAAAACTTTATTATATATGGCTATGGCTTCGACTTTGTCTCTTTTTCTCATGTGTTTTACATTTTTTTTTCCTTGGGTGGGGGTGGAGGGAGATTCTGTTATTTTTGTTTTTGGTCTTTTATTTGGGATGCGTAATGCGTTTACACTTTCTTAGAAGGAAAAAACCTTTTTTTATAAAAAATACAAACTACAACATTTTCTGCGGATTTACCAACATTTATTTTATTTTTACAATAAAAATACTTCTGAAATCAACAAAAGATGTTTCTTTAGTCTTTGTAAACTTTAAATACACAACAAAATGTTTCTTTACATTCCAATTTTCGTTTGAAGTATGATCATCAATTCATCATCATCAGTTCCACAAAGAGAAACAAAAAGTTTCTTAAAGAATTGTTGCAAGTGTCGATAAGATTCTAAGGCTCTAAGCCAAAGGGAGACTTTCAATTTAGCTTGGTCCGAACTCGCTCACTTGACAATCACGATCTCTTGTATTTAGTAAAGCATTGAAGTGTTTACACTGGATCGGTGGAGTCGATTGACTCGATTAAAGCTCCGAATTGTAAGGGACTGAACGTATAAAATTACATTGTGTTTTTGGTAAGTTTTGTATGCTCCGCTACATACAACGTATAAGAATACAAAATCTAGTCTATTCGTTGGTTTGGTTTATATAACATATTCATCTTTATCGCGCGTGGTTGCTGAAAACATTTCAAGATTTCTAGAGTGAAAAAAGAATCCGCGTGTAAATTCTTGCCAGTCTTGTGTTTGCCAAGAAAGCTATCCGTTTGATAGATGAAGCCTCAAACTCATGCTGCAAAATTTCTTTCTCGCCCGGTATCAAAATTGAAAGAGTAATCGATACATTATCAAATTTTGCATTAAGGAGATAAAATTCCCAAGTTTTCCAGACTATATGAGTTGATTCGTTTGAATCCCACTCAATTTTTTTTTTTTTTCTGTTTCTAGGACTCCAAATAAATTATTCATAACTGGGATCCGATTTGGAATTATGTAAAATTGTTTTCTTATTTTTATTGGGGGTTTTTAAGGGTTAGTGATCATCTCATATTGATTCGAACCTGATCTGACTAATTTTATTGAAAAAGATACAAAATATTGAAATGCTCAAACTGAGTTGTAAGGTTACTTCTCGTTTCGCCCTTGAAGGTAGGATCTTTTAATTATCACCAATCCTTTTTATTGCTCGCAACTCTGTTTCTTTGTTCTAAACTCTAAATCCTTAAACTTTTTAATGTTGTGTCACTCACACCTTGAACTAATCTAAAATCAAAATCCTTTTTAACTTGTCTGGGTTAAGATTAGTTCATGATTAGGCTCACAAGTCACAATCTCACTTCAGTGAACTATCTGCTTATATGAAATGAAAGGAATCTCTTTAATCTACAAGAAAGAATTTGAAATTGTCAAAAAGATTTAGATGATCCTGTCAATTCTTTACTTTTTGGTGTAGTCTCTTCTTGTACATTTTTCTTGTTTTCGGTGGAAATAATGTGGCTCTACTGTTGTATAAATAAATCTACTCTATGGCAGGTCCGTTCTTTTATGAGATGTCCAGTCCTCAAGAACTGTATACCTGATAATACGTGTTGAATCCGAGATAGCACTCGTTAAGACGGGCTATCTTAGATGTGAGTTTAGGAAACTGGAACGCTTAATTCGACTCTTAGATTATCAAGAAGATTACAAGAGAGCAATCTCGCTAACAAGCCTAGCGAGATTATGATGGTGAACAAGAGGATAGAGTAAAAGCTAATGTGAAAGCCTAGTGATTCTAGATGATTTCGGATCCCTCTCCCAATGGGGGGGTCTTCAATATATATGGTTGATAAGTCGGCCGAATGGAATATTCTCCTTCAGGCGAGATGGAAAACTTCCTCTTTTGCGATATGGAAAATCCCTCTTGTTTTTGGATCTTTCTCCATTCTTTAAGTCGGCATGAAGATTTATTTACATTTCTCCATGGATTGTGCCTTTCTCTTCAAGTCTTGCCTTTTTCTTGAAGATGTTAGGCCTAAAATCGGATTGGGCTTTGTACTTTACTAATGATGACGGGCTCAGGGAAATGTGCTAATTTCTCCTCTAACAATAAGTCCCCCCGCCAGCTCGGCAGGTCAAATGTAGTTTGATCTCGGCGAGCTTCATGAATAGAGGACGAGCTTGAGAATCATTAGTAAAATACATCACTTCAATCGGATCTTAGTGCCTAGGTGCATGCTGAATGTAGATTCGTGCCGCCTCATTAAAACCTTGGTACGGAAAAACCCAATTGGGACAAAAACCATAAAAAGGAAAAAGAGTACGTTGACGTCATCTAATTCATAGTAATATGCTTCGAATGATTTTTGCCGCGACCAAAAATGCTTTCTTGGTTCGAATTTATGGTGGGTTCGGTTTTCAGCTGTGACTGGGCGATTTTGCCACGTCACTGCCCAAGCGGACCTGTTTGCAATTGCGTGGGCTGAGTCCGATAGTCGATTAAATCGCGCGGAGGCCCAAGCCCATTAATGCTTTTCCATTGAGCGGGAAAGAAATGAATAAAAAATTCATAAGGGCAGTTGTGTCCCTTGGAAGTCGCGCGATCTCTATTAAGAGACCGTTCGAATTTCCTTTATTCATTTTTGCTTCTTTTCTTCTTCTCACTCAACCGTCCCGACGAATCAAAGGTAACTTCCGCAATCCGACTTCAAATCTTGTCTCGATTGATTTCTCGAATCGATTCTCCGGGATTTAGGACTAGGGAATTACGAATTGCTCGAATCTAGTTAGGTTGCGCTCCGATTTCGTCTTCTGATCTTAGGGTTATGCTCCGTCGAGTTTGGATGCTCCAATCTTCGAATTTCCGAATTTTCCGCGTAATCGGGATGGATTCGCAAGATAGAAAAGGGAAGGGTATCGCTAGGGGTGTCAAAATGGGTAACCCGACCCGACCCGACCCTTACCCACATGGGTTTGAAGGTTATAGGGTCGGGTTATGACCCGACCCATTTATTTTATGGGTTGTAAATTAGAACCCAAACCCAATTATGTCAATATCCATGGGTTAAATGGGTTTTATGGGTACCCATATATATAAAAAATGAGTAATATATCTATATTTTTTTATAATAAATGAGTAATGAAAATTTTAAAACATATTATATATTATTAAAAATTCAACTAACACTTCCAAATAACAATTCATAATAATATTTGTGTAGTAAAACAAAATCTCATAAATAAAATATCAAATAAAACCATAGAATAAAACCTTAAAAAAAGCCTTTAAATTATAAAACCATAGAATAAAATCTAATGAACACTTCAATCTTCTTTGAATGCATCTGGTTCTTCACTTCTTCAGCACCATCTCCTTCCATTCCATTATCTAAAAATAAATAATAAAATTATATTAACAACTTGAACATAGTATTTTATATCAGAAGAAAAACCAGAATATAATATTAATACCTAAAATCAACGAAAACAATGCATATAAATTAAAACTATAACTTTAGGTCATTACCTTTTTCATCCGGTGTAAAACCAAATAGCCAAGATCTCGTACAAAGTAGAGCTTGCACATGCTTAGGAAGAAGACGACTTCGATATTTATTTAGAACACGTGAACCAATACTGAAGGATGATTCTGAAGCTACCGTAGTGATAGGAATGCTGAGCACATCACACGCCATTATTGATAAAGGACCAAACCGATGTCTGTTCTCTTTCCAATACGTTAAAACACACATGTCAGGAAAATTTTTCATCTCTAACTTTGGTTCTTCCAAGTACACATCCAAAATTGACTTTCCCTCATCCGCAGCATCATAAGCATCATCTAAGTCAAACAAATCCTACGTATACCAAACTCCAACATATTAATATACGACCAAATAGTCGTTAAAATATATTAATCTAAAGAATTTGAAACTTACATTATCAAAGTTCTCTCTGCCACGTTCAGTGGGATGGTGATACGGGAAAGATGGACTCCTAGAATTTACAGCCATAGGAAACCTTTTCTCGTACTCTTCAAATAGCTTGGCCATTTTCTTCTTCAGATGATCCAACTTTAGTTTACAAGATAGTGGATCGTCAAGCTTCTCGTAAAGACGCTTCAAAAGCTTAGTTTTCATTCTAGGATCAAGAACAGCACCCATGGCAAGAATAATACTGTATTGGTCCCAATACTTATCAAACTTAATCTGCATCTTACTAGCCATCTCTTGGATGAGATTGTCATCGTTGTTTGAATTTTGTCTCAGCAGACGTTCAATCTTCCAAACATGCCCAAAATATAGATTAGACGTAGAGTAACTTGTCCCCGACATCAATGTAGTAATCTTGTAAAACGGCCTTAGAATGTCACATATTTTTGATGCTCTTCCCCATTCTTCATCTGATGGACAATTCTTGTAGAGCTTATCAACCACTTTTAATCTGTTAAAAGCACGTTGGTAATTCAAAGCTCTCTCGAGCATCAGAAAAGTTGAGTTCCATCTCGTTTGAACATCCATAGACAAAACTACTTCATCGTCACCTTCTACGCATTGCTGGAATGCAATCCCTCTCGCTCTTGAAGCTTTGACATATTTCACACTATCTCTGATCTTGGCCAAAGCACCACTAATAATCTTTAGTCCATCTTGGACAATAAGATTCAAGATATGCGCAGAACATCGGACATGGAAGAACTCACCTCCACATAACAGGTTGTCATCAAGATTAAGCCGCTCTTTTAGTATGTCTTGCATAGTGTCATTCGCTGAGGCATTGTCTAGAGTAAGAGTGAATATCTTTGAGGCATTGTCTAGAGTAAGAGTGAATATCTTCTCTTCAATTCCCCACTCCTTAAGACATTCATAGATTTTACTAGCCAAGGCATCACCGGTGTGTGGGGGAGGCATGTCACAAAATAACAAGATCTTGCTATTCAAATTCCACTTTTCATCTACGTAGTGAGCTGTCAAAGATATATAACCTTCACCAGAAATTGCAGTCCAACAGTCTGAAGTTAAACATATCCTACTCGGGATATTTTCCAAGTCCAACTTCAGTTTTTTCTTTTCGCTCTCCCACGTTTTAACAACGTCCATTGCTGCTGTGTTTCTGCTGTATAACTTATAATCCCGGTTCAGATACTGAAGAAAACGTCTCACCTCTTCATATTCAACAATAGCAAACGGAAGATCATGCCGAATTATAACCTTGCTAAACATCTCTCGGACAACAGTTTGATCAATCTTCAGTTTCTTCGTCTTTCCATCTGCATCAATTATCATATTCCCCACATGACCATATTTTGGCTTCTTGATGCATCTTAAATGATGGCGCTTCATAACTGATGTTCCTGTGTTTGGTCTAGATAGAAGTTTCTCGTCACAGTAGTTAAATTTAACTCTATTCTTGCCATCGTTTGGATCTACTCCAATTTCAGTATAATGTTCCCACCATTCTGATGTCTTTCTCCTTTTTTTACGAGAGTTTGCTTGACCTTCATCTTGCGGTATTTCTGATGACTGATCATGGGTAACATCATCATCATCACTACTCATCATCATCTCTTCTTCCTCAGTTAGCTTTGCTTCCCAATCTTCCATGTTATCTAACCAAACACATAAGTCAAAATATTTCGATTAGGCTTAGTTATAAAAGAACATTAAATATTTTAAAACTACACTTTCTAGGGTTTTTTAAAAGTGTAACTTGAACAGAAAAAAATAAAACGATATAAAGAACGCAATATTATTATTCATTAGCATGTTTGATCTAACATGTTAGATGTGGAGTTTCGTTTTCGTATACGTAGCGTAGGTCTCTTCCACTTAAATAAAATAATCAAAATCTACACACAAGAAAACAGATGTGCTAATGCATGTAATTCTGTGAATATCTAACCGACTTAACCTAACAACACGTACACGTTTAGCAGTTTATGTAACATAGGACTATAAAAATAAATAAAATAGAGAACAAAACAAATAAGAGTTATGTCGTAATACTTACCGTTATTGTTAGGGAAAGATGATGACATACTACGATCGGAGACTAGCAGATTGTAACTATAAGAATAAGAAGATGAACGAAGAAGAATGGGGATTGAATTTAAGAATGAGGAAGGAGAATGTCGAAAGAGCTCATATTTATAAGAGTAACACACTAACAAAAAAGGAACAATTTAGTATTTTCTAAATATTTAATTTTATATGTTTACATTTTAATGAACAAATTTATGGATATTTTATATTTTTAAATGATAAATTTATGAATATTTTACATATTTATAGTTTTTACTTTTTTTATTTATGAATATTTTACATATTTATAGTTTTTCTTTTTTTGTGATAAACTCATTGGTAACCCATAACTTTAATGGGCAAACCCGTTAGACTCATAGATCATTAGGGTTGACCCACTATGACCCATTTATTTATTTGGGTAGAAAAGTTCAACCCAAACCCATTTAAAATGTTGACCAATAGGGTCAACCTGTGGGTAATGACCCATTTTGACACCCCTAGTATAAAGTGATAAATACTTTATATATATATTTGTTTTTTCATCCTGTCAATTATTACGTTTAAAGTATAAACTACTTTAAATAGATGTCAGCATGCATCAGTACTTGCTTTTGACAGTATCTTTAAATTCTTATTACATTGACGTAGTTGCTTAAAAACCTCATGACTGGACGCGATGCTTTCGGGTTTCGTCATGACTTCTCATTCGAGACACCGACCGGCGCGTATTAGGTCTGTGTGCTTAGGATGTTAAACCTACTTTCAGCGACGAGCTCTAGAAACTCGATTTATGCTTCCGACTTCAAAGCTTCGTGCGGGTGACGAGGTAGCGGTTTTTCGCTCGTCCGACGAACTGAGAGCCGTGCGAGGTGCGTGCTCTCGGCTTAATGAATGGGTGATCAGTCCATGTTTTTAGGGTGCAAAGTGCAAGTGCTTATTGAGTTTGCCTCAATAACTTGGTTTGACGTCAAACGGGTGCGTGCTGGGTGTCGACAAGTTTCAGCTTATGCCAGAATGAGGCGCGCTTGTCGAGAGAAAAGGTTTTAATAAAATTAAAATTTTATTAAGTATTATAGCTGCGCCCTTGGTGAGAAAGGCTGCCTACGTACCCGTGCCGGGATGTCTTTTTTTTTTTTTTTTTTTTGGCTAGCGCGGTGCTTCGCGTCTAGTCATGGAACTTGCGCAGATCCGACGAGCTCCAGAGGCGATCGGACGTGGTGCCGAGGTTGTCTTCTAGCTGATAGATACCTGGTTTGACGACTTTCGCGATGCGGAATGGTCCTTCCCAGTCGGAACCGAATTTGCCGAGACCATAGATCGTATCGTCATCGGTTTTGCAAAAGACGAGGTCGTCTAATGCGAAACGGAGGTGTTGCTTTAGGAAAGCGGCTGCTAGATCGTCGAAACTGTCGATGGAGTCGGCACAGAGGTTGCTGAACCATGTTAGGGCGTCGCCGCGCAAGTGTTCGGCGAGGGCTTGGCAGAAGTGCGCGCTTTGTTCTTCCGGCGATGTATATTTCTGTCTTCTCATGGCCGTCATGAAGGATGTGATCCACTGCTTGGGATCTTCTCGGCCATCATAGAAGTTTAGGTGTAGTGAAGCGCGCTTCTTCAGTGGTACCTCGGATAGGCGGCTTGTCAGGGGAGTTCTTCGAATATCGGCAATGATCTCGAATATCTCCTGATCGGAGAACGAGCATTGCGGGGGTGCATGGCGATCAGTCTTCGCGCGATTCTCCATGTTTCTCCTGGTCTCGCCATCGTAGACAGGGGCGTCGTCTCGGCGAGGGAGAGATTCGTGATGGCACCTTGGTGCTTTATGCGTGGACTTCTCCGGGCGAGAGGATGATGACTTTCTCTTGTTTCTTAGCCGGAACCGAGGATCTTCGGGGTCGAACCGTAGCTGCGGGATGTCTTGCTCGAGGCGGATGTAATTCTCAGCGCGAAGGAAGGCGTCCTTCAAAGTTGGGGAGGGGCGGATGCGGATATCTTCCCAGAATCCGGATTCGTATCGAAGTCCGTTTCCGAGGGCTTGGACGAGTACCGGTTCCGCGATTGGGGGTGCTCCCGGAATGTCCCTGAGGTCGAGCAGCGCGCTCTTGAATCTGTTCAGGTAGCTTCGTAGCGGTTCGTCCTCGAGTTGCTCCATCTCGAATAGATCGGAGAGATCCTTGTGTTTAGTGCAAAGCTGGACCTTAAGTCGGATTTCCAGGCGGGCTCGGAGTTCCTTTGCCGATGGATCGGGGGATCTGCATTCTGCGTCGCGACGGCTCGTTTTATTGCGTTGGACTCGTCGGTTTCGTCGTCCGATACTGGCTCGGTTATCATACAGGACGACGCGGTGCGGAGCTTGCGCTCGCGGAGGAAACATGATCTCGTCATCTTTGATCTCCACGTAAGGTGAAAATTCCAGAGGGTATCGGAAACTTCACGCATTGGTGGAACGTCGAGATGACAGCTTTCATTTCATGGAGCCATGGGGTGCCGAGGATAGCGTTATAGATGGCCGGTTTGTCCATGACGATGAACTTCAAGAGCTTTGAAATTCCGCCGACATAAACGGGGAGCCGGACTGTGCCACAGCTGTAAACATGCTCGGCGGTGAAACCGGTGAGGGGACGGGATGTAGGTTTGATAGATCCTTCCTCCACCCCATGCGGTTCAGTGTTTCCAGAAAGATGAGGTTCACCGTACTCCCGGTATCAACCAGGACCTTCGCGACGTCACAGTCGTGGATCTGTAGAGTGATTACGAGTGGGTCAAGGTGAGGGATGTCCAGCCCGCTCGCATCCTTATCCGTGAAGGAGATGGTAGGGATCCCTTTATGGATATACGGGTAGCGTTGTGCCGCGACGGCCTTTCGTTCGTATTCCTTGATCGCCGATATGGAATCGTCGTTATCCAGGAAGCCTCCCATGATCATGCTGACTTGTCGCTTCGGTGGTGGAGGTAGGTCGTCGTGGTCATCACGATTCCTTTTCCCAAGCGGTGCTTCCGCCTTTTCTGCGTCCTTCCTCGGACGGGGTTGTCGTCCGCGCTTCTCCTGCTGCCCAGATTTTGGTGGTTTCGGCGGGAAGCTTTTTCCTTGGGACCTATCACCGTCCATTGGCGGGATTTCTCCTCGATGGTACATGCGCATGAGGTTGCTCATTAGGTGTTTGCAGTTTTCAGTGGCGTGGCCAGTCCTCCCGTGGAACTTGCAGAAAGCTTTGGTATCGTTGTCATCTTCGAGCGAGTTGATGTCTTGTGGCATCGAAACGGCCGCTGCGTGTTCTTGCTCGAACTCGTCGTCGGCTGCTGCGAACGCTGTGAGGAGAGACCTCTTTGGATCGTGTCTTCTTCGCGCCTCCATGGGTTCCTCTCTGGGTTTCGTCGAGGTTGCCCTCCTATCTCCATGTTTCTCGGCGTAGAAGCGCTGGTCTTCCTCGAGGAAGATGTAGTTCCGAGAGCGGTGGAACGCGTCCTCCAGAGTCGCAGGGGGTTTTAGTGATAAATCCTCCTTGAACTTGGAGTCGTACCAGAGGCCGTTCGCCAGTGTCGCGAGCTGCTTGTTTGAACCTTTCCATAAAGCTGCGCAATGGTTCGCCTTGGGTTTGCGTTGTGGTGAACATGTTCCGAGTGATTCGGGTCATGTGCATGGAGTAATGCTTCAGAAAAGCATTGGTTAGGTCGTCGAAGTTATCGATCGACTCGGCGGGGAGGTTAGAGAACCAGGTCAAGGCATCTTTCGCCATGTGCTCGACGAATACTTGACAGTAGTTGGCCTCCCTTTCATCGTAAGATTTGTATTTCTCCCTCCTCATGGCGAGGTTGAACGCGGTTAGCCACTTCTTGGGGTCTTCTTCGCCGGTGTAAGAGTCGATTTTGAGTCGAACTCTTTCGTGTAGCTCAATCTGGCGGAGCCTGCGGGTGAGCGGGCTTCTTCGGGTGTCGGCGAGTGCTTTCGTCAATTCCGGAGCTGAGCTGGTGGCGCGATGAACTTTCGAATCGACCTCGTCGAGGCGGCGATTCACCCGTTCAAGCTCTTGAGTGGTAAGTCGCCTGAAGTGCGCAGGACGGGGGGTTGTTCCGTCGGTGGGACTTGACGGATTTTCATCGTCTTCTCGTGCTAGGGCTTCCACCTGTTCCTGAGTCTTTTTCTGCTGTGCTCGCATTGACTCGAAACCGTCGGCGAGTGGCTTGACGAGATTCTCCATGAGTTTGAGGATCTTCTCGCTCGAGGAGGATTTCTTCGAGCTGCGGGGTTTGTCGCTCGAGGAAGATTTTCTCGAGCGGCGTGGTGCGGACGGAGGAGGGCTCTCGTCCTTTCTTGGCGGAGGAGATCGTTGCGGCGAAGTCGATCTTCGCGGCGAGACGGATCTCTGTGGCGAGAAAGATGGGTTTCTTGTAGGGACAGGCTTGTCCCTTTCAGCGGGTAGCGACTTGTCTATCGTGCCTGGTAGACTGTCGCTTAAGTTTTCTTCTGAGGGAGACGGGCTCCCGGTGGGAGTGTTCTCTTTCGAGTTCGCCATCGTTGCTAGTTCGTGAAAATCTAGATATCTTCGAGATGAATAGCGAGAAGCGTTTCCAGCCCCACGGTGGGCGCCAATTGTTGAATCCGAGATAGCACTCGTCAAGACGGGCTATCTAGATGTGAGTTTAGGAAACTGGAACGCTTAATTCGACTCTTAGATTATCAAGAAGATTACAAGAGAGCAATCTCGCTAACAAGCCTAGCGAGATTATGATGATGAACAAGAGGATAGAGTAAAAGCTAATGTGAAAGCCTAGTGATTCTAGATGATTTCGGATCCTCTCCCCAATGGGGGGTCTTCAATATATAGGTTGATAAGTCGGCCGAATGATGAATATTCTCCTTCAGGCGAGATGGAAAACTTCCTCTTTTGCGATATGGAAAATCCCTCTTGTTTTTGGATCTTTCTCCATTCTTTAAGTCGGCATGAAGATTTATTTACATTTCTCCATGGATTGTGCCTTTCTCTTCAAGTCTTGCCTTTTTCTTGAAGATGTTAGGCCTAAAATCGGATTGGGCTTTGTACTTTACTAATGATGACGGGCTCAGGGAAATGTGCTAATTTTTTCTCTAACAATACGTATTAAACCACAATAAAAATAAAATAAACATCGAGTCTAATTTAGGTGTCAACGTAGAATTTACCATTAATATATAAAAAAAAAATTATTTGTTCGATCTCTTGTTGATGTATTTCTAGGGGGGAATTGCCAAATATAGTTCACAATTTGATTTGAAATGCAAAAGTAGACCCTATATTGCATTTAGAGCAAAACTAGTCTTCTGGGTATGTAAAATTACAAACCAAGCCCTTATGAACAAAGAAAAAAACGCTAGCCACAATGTCTGTTTTACCCTGTTTAAAGTCTATTCATGAAGTCTACGGCGTATTAGACTTCATCATGAAGTCTAATTCCTAATCACAACTCAAATTTAATTTATAAAATTATAAAATTGTTTTGATCAAACAAAATTATACATAAATAAGATTAGAACATTTGGCATCCAAGAAAAATAAAATTGCATAAAAATGAATCCATTTAACTCAAGTAAGAGAAATTATGTTTGTAACCTATAAACTGCGTGAAGTCTACTCAGAAGTCTACTATATAGCAAAATCGTAAATTTAAAGTTTAAAATCTATTAAAAATATTTTGATAAGGTATTTACACATAATTTTAACAAAGACAAGTACTATCCATGAAAAATAAATTTGCATATAAATTGATCAATTTAAATCCGGTAATACAAATTATGGTATAATCCAAAAAATATTGTGTGAAGTCTACTGAAGAAGTCTACCAAATAACAAAATCTTAAATTTAAAGTTTAAAATCTATAAAAAATATTTAGGCTTCAAAAATTATAAATAATCTAAATGAAGACAAATCCTATCTATGTAAAATAAAATTTCATGGAAATTAATCAATTTATAAGTTTCATGAGTAAACCAATCATCAAGCTTAGTGTTTGAGGTACAATGTATAGGGTTTATGAGTGTCATTGTTAGGGTTTAGAGAATTTTGACATAAAAAAAGTTTGTGGTTTGTTTAACGATTTAAAGCTAATGAATTCATAGTTTATAATGTAAATTGTGATTATATATACATAATTGTGTTTTCTATAGCTTTGATCTCAAAAATTCGATTTAGGGTTTAGGGTTATCAGACTTCATAGTAGACTTCATTATTAGACTTTGACATGAAGTCTGTTACTTAAAAAAGCGAGCGGGAAACAAAATATTTTGGGCGGGAACCGGAATTTATGCGAAGAAAAAACGAGAGGCATAATGTTTGTTTTACTTTGTTTAAAGTATATTCATAAAGTCTACTTCCTAATCACAATTTAAATTTAAATTATAAAATTATTGGAAATTAATTTGATAAAGAAATTTTTTACATAAATAAGATTATAACATATGACATCCATGAAAAATAAAATTTCATAAAAATGAATCCATTTAAGTCGACTAAGAGAAATTATGTTTGTAACCTCTAAACTGTGTGAAGTCTATTCCAGAAGTCTAATATAGTAAAATCTTAAATTTAAAGTTTAAAATTTCTAAAAAAAAATAAAAAATTGATAAATAAATTTACATATAATTTTAACAAAGACAAGAACTATTCATGAAAAAATAATTTGCATATAAATTGATCAATTTAAAGCAAGTGAGACAAATTATGGTAGAATAAAAAAAAAATGGTGTGAAGTCTACTATAGAAGTCTGCTAATAACAAAATCTTAAATTTAAAGTTTAAAATCTATAAGAATAAAAATTTGAAAAAAAAATTATAAATAATTTATAGAAAGACTAGTCCTATCTATGTAAAATAAAATTTCATGAAAATGAATCAATTTATAAGTTTCATGAGTAAACCAATCATCAAAATTAGTGTTTGATGTATAATGTAAAAGGTTTATGAATGTCATTATTAAGGTTTAGAGAATTTTGATATAAAAAATGTGTGTGATTCTTTTAAGGATTTAAAGCTATTGAATTCATAGTTTATAATGTAAATTGTGATTATGTATATTTAGATGATGTTTCCTATAATTTTGATCTTAAATATTTGATTTAGGGTTTAGGGTTAGTCAGACTTCATGGATAGACTTCGTTAGTAGACTTTGTAATGAAGTCTAAAACTCAAAAATAAATTCAGCGGGAAATGGATTTTTTTTGGAAGAACTAGCGGGAATCAAAACAAATTAAATCAGGTTTGGAGACTTCATGAGTAGACTTCGTGAATAAACTTTAATAAGAAGTTTTCTTAACCGAATTTTTTATAACTAAACCGTAAAATTCACCTAGGTATATAATGAAATTGGAAACCCTAGTTTTGTTAAAATGAAAATTATTCACTCTCTAAAACACGGCGCCTCTTTCCTCCTCTCCTCTCGCCCCTGTCTCTCTCGCCGTGAACTTCTCCCTCCTTTCTTGCCATGAATCACCTTCTTTAGCTTCCCGAAGAACTGTTTTCTCTCTCTCCGTCGGTGGAACTTTACGGTGAGGATATATTTTCCGGCTTTTACCATCCTTGTTGTCGTTGCCGTCCAGTCTCTAGCCTCCGCCATCGTTGCCGTCCAGTCTGGAGCCTCCGCCGTCGTTGCCGTCCAGTCTCTATCCACCGCCGTCGTTGCCGTCCAGTCTCTAGCCTCCACCGTGTTCACATGTAAGCAATTTATCTTCTCTCCAGAACAGATTTAAATCAAATCTGACCTGCAACCTAACATATTGGTCTATTTTTTTTCAGATCTGAGCGCCAAAGTAGCCTTAGAGGATAGCACTAAAAGTGGTTAAACATTTGAACGGAAATCCAGTTTTCAGGAACAAAGAAAGAGAGACTGAAGCGGAGGAGAAATTGTGGGAGAGGTTTCATAAAACAGATCCTGTAGTTTCTTGTATCTAAGTACATTATTATGGGTCACCAGGTTCCTCAAGGTATTTCCTTTTTCTTTGCATGTTCTTGGTCATTTCATCTTCTCTGGTTTGTTAATACTGATTACTCACGACTTTGGATTTTCTTGAATGTAGATAAGAACAAGAGGCTGCCACGGAGCCGGTGGCTAATGTCGGTTAGTTTTCAATTAACTAAGTTTCTTAGTGCTTCATGTTTGTTAATAAAATCGAAAGTTTATGTTGACTTTTTCTTTGTTATTAAGAGCTCCTCTTTGGTTGCCAAAGATAACTTCAAGGCAGACTCTTTTAGCATGTTATAGATGCTTGTTCGCATTATGTTTTCTGATTGCATTATGTTTTGTTTCTCCAGCTGAATGAGACTTACGATTGCTGGTACACATCAGGGATTCCAAAAAATCAAGCTTTATTGGGATAGCTTTTTCCGTTTCCATGCTGATGATCTCTCTTTTGAAACAATACTGTCTTGTAAGTTGCTACGGTTTTTTTTTTTTTTTTTTTTTGCATTAGTTTAGTGTCAAATGGAGTTGGATCGTGTGGTTTACTTCTCTAATTTCAGAAACCATGTTTCTCTTTGCTTTGTTGTCATAGATTGTGATGTTTCAATGATTTCAGGGAGCTAAAAAGGTTGCAGATCGCTTTGAAGCACAACCGTTCAATTGCAACTATTGTCATGGTGAGAATTAACCATCTTCTTCTCCATTTTCCCTAAGCTTTGTCTTAGCTCACTTCATCTCTGTTCTCTCATTCCATCATTCGTCTCTGTCTTGTCTTTTGATTACACTTGACTTTGATGGACATTTGCTTGAGAAATGTTTAACTTTTCTGTTTATCTCTTTCTGCTATTTGCTTTAACTGCATAACCAAATTATTATGAGGTCGTTACATAGCTGTATCCACTTTCCAGTGACCTTATTGCCTCTTTTATGATTGTTTTTGGTTATAGGTTCAATTACATGCATTATGATCACAATCATGGTCCTATATACAACTCCATCGAGGCATTAGACAAGATGGGCATTGGATATAATAGAGACAGGAGATCCAGATGCCTTCAAGAAGTATCAACAAGATTTTGACAACACCATCGAGGCACTTTTCAAATGCTAAAACATTGCTCAAGCAAGATGAAGATAAACTTCCTGCAAGCAGTCAAGCCAGTGCCTCAAACTCTTATTTTGTGTTTACATTTCGGTTTCAAGGTCATTTAGGTTCTCAAAGTGTCATATAAACGCATTTGCCAATGCAAAGAAACTTAAAAAACCAAAAGTTAATGTTAACAATCTTCTTTAATAATTGAAAAACCATCCATTTACAATATCTCTTAACATCTGCATTTTCGTTTGAAGATACGTTCATACATGTTAGCACAAATTAAGTGTCTTGATACTTCAAAACACTTTGTTTAAAATCTACGAGAAAACACTTTGTTTAAAATTTACAAGAGATACAACCAAAAGTTTACTCTTACAATCTCCTTGATATTTCCAAACGGTGTCCGATCTTGGTTACGAATAATCTCTAAAGCCATTTGAATAAGCTCATCATGTGTACATCCATCCCTCAACGAGAACATTCTACCTCCTTTCCGATAATCAACCTCAAAATGCCAAGACAAATTGTCCTTTATCACCCATTCTCCATAAACAGATGCAATGTAAACCATTTCCTGCAAGTAAACAAAAACCAACCGCATTAGACTTCATTATAGACTTTAGTGGTAGACTTCACCTATAAGTCTACCTAGTATTGTCTAATATTCAATTTTCACAAGAAAACCGTTTTCACGAAATATACAACGAATAAGCATGTCAAACTAACACACAAGCAACTAAATAGACTAACTCAACTAATTGTTCAAGAAAATCTTAAAAATTCCTTATATATTTTCCAAAAAGCGTTTTCAAATAAAACATTAAATATTAGACTTCACAAGGAAGTCTATTTGATAGCTTCCTGTGAAGTCTAATAGACTAGTTTTGCAATTTTTCAAATGACGAATTTTTTATGAAGTCTACACGTGAAGTCTATAAAAAAAAAGACTAGTTTTGCAATTGACCAAGCTTTGACTTTTTCAAATAGACTTCATTATCGTGAATAGGCTTAAAAATGAAGTCTAACTAGGTAATGAAGTCTATCGGTGAAGTCTACAACAAAAATTAGACTTCATAGAGATTAGTTTTGCAATTGATTGAAATTTTTGAATTTAGAAAATAGACTTCATCGTGAAGTCTAATCCGAAAACGTTGACTATTAGACTTCTTGGTGAAGTCTATCAAGAATTAGTCTTCGAATGAAGTCTAACCCTTTATTAGACTTCGCAATGAAGTCTAATGAAGTATTAGACTTTGAATGAAGCCTAATACAACATTAATAGACTTCAGGGGTAGACTTCACGATAAAACAAACTACTTAAAGTTTGCAAAACTAGTCTTTTATTCAAGCAGACTTCACAGATAGATTTCCCATAAAAAGTTTTTATTCTGTCAATTGCAAAACTAATCTTTTTCGAGTAGACTTCATTCTGAAGCCTACGCCATATTTTTTTGTTTTCAAAGGAATATGGGTAGACTTCATGAAGTCTACTCTCTAAATTTTTTGAAAAATCAATTGCAAAACTAGTTTGTTAGACTTCGCTATGAAGTCTAAGGACCTGCAAAAATATGAGATTCACTCAGATCTACCGGAAATTTACCTTGCCGTGATCTTATGTTTCGTTGACGGCCTATAACTTCGATTTAGAGCTTTAGCAAACTTCCCCAACCGTTATAATGATCTCCCACACCAAAAATGGGAAGATCTAAGAACATAAACTTTGAAAAGATGAAAATGTGTATTCTTGGGGTGAAAATTGAGAAGAAATTGACCAATACAAGTTTATGAGATGATATAATGAGTTTGTATATATGTTTGAAGAGTACATCGTGCATTGAAAGCTTGATTTCGGTTGAGAATGGTTGTTGGACGAATTGATGGTGATGGCATTTTCGTGAATAAATGAAGAAGATGAGGTTTCTTTGGACATTTTTTTTCGTGTTAGACTTCACGGTTAGACTTCAAACACGAAAGTAATGGCATTTTCGTTATTATCACAAATATAGTGAGGATAAACAAGGAAGAAAAAAGAGGAATTACTTTTGGATTTGACTCAATTTGTGACTACTTTTGAAACAGCCCATTTCTAGGCTTCTAATTAGCTCACTAACACCACGGTTTCAAAGTAGATGTCGAATTGCAGAAGGGGAAAGTGTCATAAGACTGCTTACTCTTTTGCAGTTTGCTCTAGCTTGACACATTCACATACGAATATGAAGTTTGAAGCACATGGCGTTGACTGCATGTGCATGTGGATAAGGTTTAGTTGGTATTGCGAACTTAAGAAATATCGAAACACATTATATTCGACGCCTCTAAAACCACTTTTCACTGAAAAATGGTAACCAAGCTCTTCAGGCTTTTTTTTTAATTGGAACTATCTGACATTAAGAAAACCCATGATTAGTACTATTGGATAACAAATAACTGTGCACAAAATAAAAAGATAACAAGGAAATATATTTGGGATCAACAGACAACACATGGATATGTTTTAGAACAAAAAATAATATATATATATATCCGTGACTTACATTATAATGAACGTAACAGCGTAAAAATGGACTGAAGTGGAAAAAAATAGAGAAATAATTGAATTGGTCAAGTCAAAACCATGAACATAAATTCTAGGATCGAAAATGATTTGATTTCTTATTAAATTAGGCCTACCGTGAGGAACTGAGGATAGTGGAATATTACGCAACTCTGAAAAGAACTTCCAGAGGGATCAGATAGTGATTAATTAAGAGATAAGTTGCTTACCACTTAATAGGAATTAAGAAAATAAAATATTTGGTTGCATATTATATGTTTCTTGGTCTGCAATTTAGGTTCCTTATTACTTGCACGTATCAACAATCTTAAATAAATCCGATGTGCTCTCCTACTCTTTTTGCTAGACAAATCAAATTTGACGCTAAACATATCCAATTGGTTTCATCGATAAAGTATTTCAAATTTTACTAACCAAAATATTTTGTAATCGAAACTTTCTCATGTAGTTGTTAATTAGAAATCATGTATCTAAGAAAAAGAGATGTGATCTTATTGTTATTATTATTATTTTGTTAAACGTCATCTCATTTAGTCATTTGCTTCCCTATGACATTTGTTAATGTTCTATGGACTCTCTTTTTTTTTGGTGGAAATGTTCCATGGACTCTGACAGTATATGTTGACGAAAAAACATTAGAACCTATGAGATGCCAGGGAAAAAAATAGGATTAAGGAGACTTGTTTAATAATGAATTTATTAACTGATTCGAAGAAGATATGTCAGAATGACTTGTATTTGGATAAGCTTGGTTGAAACATACAAATAATTGTATAGAAAAAACATCCACAAATATTTTGTTACAAATTCACATGGATATAAATAAATAAAAACACATTAAAGACTTTCCCAAAACGAAAAAAAAAAACCAGAGAGATTTATCCACACAAAGACAAACGAAATAAAATAAAAAGAATGAAAACTAAGTTTTTTTTTGTTGTTCCTTTCAGTTTCTTCCTTTCTTTTTTTGTTACGTACAAAGATATTTTCATAACAAGAGAAGCAATCATACCATCCTGAAACAAATCAAGGCTTTGGTGGCTCGGCCACTGGTGCTGCCGTTGTTGTTTCCGGTGCCTTAACCGGAGCTTCAACTACCGCCGGAGCCGGAGTAGTTTCTTCTTTTTTCTCTTCTTCAACCGGCTTCTCTACCTCCGGTTTCTTCTCCTCCACGACCGGGGCTGTAACGGTCTCTTCTTTCTTGGTCTCTTCAACAATCTCTTTCTCCTTCTCACCACTTGTTTCTTCGGTTTTGGCTGGCTCTTCGGTTTTGGCCGGCTCTTCGGCTTTCACTTCCTCCACGGGCAATTCTCGCGTCTTCACCTCCTCCGGAAGGAACACACTTATCTTCTCGAATATGAACGTGACTGGTCCTGCGACATAGCCAGCCCCATAGCTAGACGTAGCGTCTCTCACAGCCGTTGATCCGGGGAATTCTGGAGATAGATGTCATAATTAATCAATCACATATAGAAAAAACATGCACGGACAAAAGTGATGACCACGTGTAAGCAACTCTTGCTGGGATTAATCATCACCATCAGTGAATATGACCAAACTATTCAGTATGATAAGAAAATATCAAATATTATCCATATAATAATCAACTATACTTCTACCATATGAAGAAACAATATATAACTAGAGAGATATGGATACGAATAAGAATATAAGTCATGATAAAGAATCCAAAGTTATAGCCAGCAAATAATTGAGTAAAAACAAATAATTTATATATGTAAGACAAAAATCAGATAAGTATAAGACAAGCCAAAATTGCTGTCGGGATATATATGGATTAATAGGCACATGACATAGCGTAATTGAATCATTACCAATTTTGACAAGCTCCTCGAGATACTTCAGCACAGCCGCTGAGTTCTTCTTCAAACCAGCCTCCTTAGGGTCTCTCACCAAAGCCTGCTCGATTTAATTTGAATTTTAATCGTACAGTTAATTAAGCTCAGACGGATGTGAATGTTAATTTAAATTAGAGAATTAGGTTAAATAAAATGAAGATAGGGACCTTGACTTCGGCAGACGTGGCCTCATAGGTTTCCACGACCTTTGGTTGGAGTTCTGTCTTTTTCTCTTCAATTTCCTTGTTGATTGCTTCCTGTTATACGTATCATTGATCATCATACGTGCCCATTTTAGCAAACACATAAAAACAAAAGTTTCGTAATAATAAAATATCGCTTGAGTGGATTATTATTGTAGGACAGAAAAAAACATGAAGTGCTAAAGTCCAAATGCTACGTGCTTATTGTTTTATTTTATTTCTTCAGGAATCAAACAAAAATTATTAAATAGGTCTATATGCACATAATAATGGTATCTCATGGGACCTATGACTACATAATTAAATTAACAGAATAAAATTAGGTTAGTTCGTAACAATATACCTTAGACTCATCAAAGGTCTTGCTAGCTTCAGCAGCAGCAGCCTTCTTAGCACTATTCTTCTCGAATAACTTCTTGAACTTGGGAACAACCTTCGCATTCCAGTACCCCATTCTTTTGCTGTTTAATTTAAATTAAACTTCTCAACTCGAACAATTCTGTCAAAGAAATAAATGTTACAAATATATTTTTATCAAAAAAAATAGTTTTGATGAAAACACAAATTTACATCTAAATACGCCCACGTTACTTCTCTGTCATGTGTGTTTAGTACATATCTAATGGAGAAAAAAAACAAAAGTACATAGCTAGTGTTCTACACAAAACGACAAAAACCAAGAACAACAAAAGAAAAAAAACAAAATTATGTTTGTTGTAACAGTATTTCATCAATCAAAATAACCAGATATGTTTGTTTATGGTGATTAGTCTCTCTTTTTTATTATTAACACCTAATCAAAACCTGGAGGCAATAATTGCCTTGCAAAATAAGTAGGTGTGTTGATCTTAATCGTATTTTCTAAATCGAAACCTAAATTAATCCGAAAAAGAGAGTTTCACTATGGAAGATGAACTTCTCATCATATTTTCGACGTCTAGCGATTGAGAACAAAACATATATTATGTATACTAAATACAACATGTTCTGACTCTATATAATTACTAAAGTTGTTTCTCTATAGAATCTCAGAAAAATATCAAACAAACCCTAGTAAATAAAAACAGAGTTCGTACGTTCGTTAACATGAACTGAACAATCAATCGAAACGACTTGTACATGCACGTATAGACGAACACAAGTTTGTTTATTTTGTTATGAGACTGATGATAAAAGACTTACTTGAATTGATAAATCTCTTTGGAGATCTTCTCTTCTCGTATCGATCTGTTTTTCTTCTTCTCTGAACACACGAAACTGATTAATTGTCTCTCTGAATTTAAGAAACCCTTTGGCGTCATATAGACAAGTTTCTCTTCAAATCAGCCCCTGTTTTCTTTCTTAATTACGATTATTGCCACTCCCTCTTTTCTCGTTTTACCCCTCTTGCCTCGTTGGCCTCAGAACCGTTTCTGTTTTCGGTTTATGTTAATCTTAGTCGTTTAAACCAAAGTAAACCGAAAACATACCTTCTCATATGTCATCAATCCATGGTTTGAATTGAGTAATGAACTTAAACCCGAAAAATATAGGCCCATAATCCTGTAAGCGACGGTGGGATTTCAGAACCGAATATGAACCGGTTTCGGTATAGTTGCGATTTCAGTTTTGATTTTCTTTGATAACCGGAAAAGGGTTAAAGACAGCAAGTACATCTGTACATGTGATAAGATGGAAAAACGGTCAAACAGAAGAGATAAACAAAGAGATTAAGGGGTAAATACGAAATTTCGGGATGAAATATTGCCAGCTGGCGGTCACATCAATCACAGTTGGCAAATATCAAAGTAGGGCCCGCACCAATCGGATTGTTAATTGTGGATGGTGATCTGTAGGTGTAACATATACGCCTCTTATCTCATCTAGAACCTCTATAAAACAAGTTCTCCAGTCCCAATTCGGATTAGTGTAAAAATAGCATAATGCGATAAGATGATAAGACAATAATATTTTTGAAACTCTATGTAAAAATATAGTCCCAACAATAAGCTAAGATAATAATTATAAAACTAATGCATATATATCTAAGACAATTTAGTAAAATATGACTCCAATGTAGTTTGTCTTTTCTGAAAATTGGATTCCCGTTAGCTCATCTCGAATTTTTCTTATTGCATCTACAATTTCTGGAGGTGTATTCTCAACATGCAGCCAAAAGTTGTGAAGAGTTCTCGAAGCCACAATTGCATCCTTACGTGTAACTACTTGCACATGTTTTCCTCATCATCTTCAACTTCATCTTCACCATTAAGAACAGTAGACATAATTTCTTATAGACTTTGAACTTCTGAGCATGAAATATGTAAATAACAAAGTATAAGAAAATTTGAATAAAAAATCTGAAAAAATATATTTCTATAAAATAATAATTATTGTTTTATCGATAAAATAATAATTTTATAAGATAATAAAATTTCAAAGTTCCAACATTATTGTTTTATAGAGGTTTTACTGTATATTCAAATTTTCATCATATATTATATAATGGATGTTATTCTGTTTACCACAGATAAATCTATGTATATTCAAATTTTCATCATATATTATATAATGTATGTTATTCTGTTTACCACAGATAAATCTGTTTAATTAATTCGTTGATAAATATGTCATACTTTGAGTTGGATTATGTTTATCGTCAGAATCATAAACAATAGTTTATATTTAATTTGTTTGATATTATATTGGTGTAGATTTAAGCCTAGTACTATTTGCCTATTTGGGTTAAGCAATGTGGTACATTTGGTTCAACTGATACCGATATAAAAACCAAAACAACCTCTTTCTAATTCAATTGATAATGGATTTATATTCTGATTATTAATTTACTTCCCTTTGTTTAAATCATTTGAAAATCACTGAAGGAAAAAACACAGTCTTTGATGATTCAGACTTTCTGAGGTAAACCATATTTCATACTTCGATCAGTATCAAATTCGTAAAAACTGAAACGTATTCGATTGGATATCGTACCAAACTAAAATGTTGATTTCTATATTCTTAAATAGAAAAGCTGAAAACTATAACAAATTGACTTAAATAACCTGATTTTATATTGAAAACTATGGGTCTTTTATTTGGTTTTAGGAACCGAGTGAACAAAACAAATGAAAATTACTGAAAAGAAACACAATTCACATGGCTTAGCTGTTCGGAAGAAATTAGGCTGTCTAGATCGAAATAAAGTATAATTAAAATGATTATAGATAATTAAGTTTAGTACAAGACAGACATCCCACTCTCAAAATCTATTACAAACTATGGAATCAAAATTTCTCCAACACGACATGGTTTACACTTAATTCATTTCAATTTATTTATTTAAATAAGAAGAAAAGAACAACCTAAATAGTTCACGAGAATAAATTATTTTCGATGATTTTTCATAGTACTGGTATCCATCAAATTTTTAAAAAACTAATACTATTAAATGAGGAAATGATTTACTTATCCTATGATTATCTTTTATATATGTACATATACATATGTTTGTTTCATAAGATCTCTTTTTCCTGGTAAACAAAAAACACACACTAACTTACATGATTTGTATGTATTTATTGTGTATTTAAGAATACAAATTATAATTGGTTTATGTAACGGTAATATAATGGTGGCCATGATGACAGTATACATCCACATGGGTTGCCTTCATTATCTGTTGTCTTCGATGAACAAAACAATGGACAACCATCCATTGTAAAAGATCCTATGATATATCATTAATTTCATGAATTTTCACATATAAAAACGTGTGTCTGTATCACTGTATATGTCATATTAGTCTATATATATATGTTCATATGCATTTACTTATGTCGGATAGTTACTTGAATGTAACAAGTGTCTATTTTTGTTTGCTGAAATTAACGAGATGTGTGTTTATTTCGATATTTTAGAGTAATATTTTGTCGTTAAAAAAAAAAGAGAGTAATATTTTGAATGTGTGTATTTCTTGAATTGAATATTTAAAATTAAATTTTGAATAAGTATATTCCAAATATTATTTTCGTATATATTTATTAAATTTATAATTTAGTGAAACGGTCAAAATCGGTTGTAAAATAGTCACAAGTTATCCAGTTTTTTTTATCAAAATGAGGTCAGAATTTTGGACCATGGTGGTCATAGATTTCGACTAATTTTCTTGGTCATGAAATTTTAACCCATTTTTGGGTCATAAATTATCGACCACATTTTAATCATAAATGTTTTACCATGGTAACTATTTACCGTTTTCATAAAGTTTCAAACCGTTTTTGTTGGTCAAAATATTTGAACATATTTATGACCACTATTCATAGCAATAATATAAATTCATAGCCATCCAACTAAAACCAATTATGACTTTCTGATGGTTCTGTATATATGTGTCGCTCTGAAATAGCTTATTTAAAAAGTTGGATTGAGTTTTCACATTTGATTTTTGTTGTTGTTGTTAACATCTAATTCCAGTAGTATGTTAATTACGGCCCATATAGAGAAATCAATCATAGCCCAAATTTAAGTTGCCAACGATATATTCGACTGTTGGGCTTTTCTGTATCTCACAACACTCTCTATCGTCAAAATTGAGTTTCCGGCGAGCGCGATACAGTCTCCATTTCCCGTCGGCGAAATCACGCTCTACAGTCCCGTCAAATTGCTTCCGTTAAATCGCTGTACGTTCTTCTTCCTCTCTCTGAATCCCTCTCTCGCTCTCTTCTTCTTCTTCTTCCAGCGAATGTTAATCTCTGTGTGCTTATCATTAAAAAGCAATTTCTGGCGTCTAGATTGTCTCTCTGAAAAACTCAAAATTTGGTTATGCAGAAGAGTTGTTCTAGTGAAGAAACATGGTTGATAGAGAGAAATCGAAACATGCTCGTTCGGAGAAATCAGATAGGTTTAGCGAATTACCAGATCCATTGATATCTCAGATACTTTCTCACCTTCCCACAAAGGACGCTGTGAAGACGAGCTTCATCTCCACCGCTTGGAGACCTCTCTGGCTTTCGATTCCTCAATTAGAGCTCGATTCCAGAGAATTCGCAGATTTAGGTTCCTTCGTGAAGTTCGGTGATAGGTTTTTCGATCTCGCCAGGACTTCCTCCGTACACAAAATCAACCTAACTCTCGATAGCAACGAAGACGAAGACGACTCTTATCTCGCTTCATGGATTAATGCTGCAGTCAAGCGCAAGATCCAACATTTACATGTTCGTTGCTCTTCAGAGAAGCGTCTCTACGAGATTCCCAAAAGCCTTTACATTTGTGAGACATTGGTGTCTCTAGAGCTCTACAAGATGAAAATGGTTGATGCAGAGGCTTTCTCTTTGCCTTGCCTCAAGATTCTGCAGTTGAAGCTTATATGGTATCTCAATGAGACGACTTTCGAGAGACTGGTCTCGTCTTGCCCTCTTCTTGAGGAGATGAAGATCTTGGTGGATTTGAGTGATTTGAAATGCTACCGAGTGAAGTCTAGGTCACTGAAGAAGTTCTTCTTCGTACGAACTTCTTCTCCTTCCCTGCGTGGCTCTGTCTCTGGAGTTGTGATTGATGCTCCTCTGCTGCGTCTCGTGTGCATCTACGATAACGTATCGGACAGCTTTCTTGTCAACAATCTGGAGCACGGTGCGAAGCTAGGTCTTGCTCTCGACTTCGGTTTGAAAGATCTCGACGCAGCTGGAGTTTCGTCGAGGAGAAACCGCGTTCGCAGTTTCCTTCCCGGGATCTCCAAGGCCAGTTCTATGACCATAGATGCAGACACTTTCAAGGTATGTATATGTATTGTAACAATGCACGTCTTCTCTATTGGTGAATTGTCTCTTAACGTTACTCAACATGAACAATGGTATCTGATTTTGTTTTTTTTTTGTTTTTTCAGCTCATTCATGACTATTCGGAATCAGAATCGCTGCCTCTGTTTCGTTACATGACCCGCCTCTCTGTGACTCTCTGTGTATCCAATTTGAATGGTTTGCCAAGTTTTCTTGAGAGCTGCCCCAACTTGGAAGTACTCAACGTGGTGATGATCTATGAATTTTTTGTTGTTTCCATGAAAGATTACGTTTTGATGATCTTCTTCATCTCGTTTTGATCCTCTGTTTGTGTTTGTTTCCTTAGGCATTGAATGATAACGAGGAGATGAATCAGAGCAGTTTCTTTGCACCGGTTGTTCCTCCTGAGTGTTTGTTGTCGTCGCTCAAGGTTGCTGATTTGGATATACCAATCTCTGGATATGCTGCAGAAATGAAGCTGGTGAAGTTCTTTCTAGAGAATTCACCTGTCCTCAAGACACTCGCTCTACATGTGAAGTATCCTCCTAGTTGTAGATTATGACATCTTTAAGGAACTTCTCAAGATCCCAAGACGCTCTGCGATCTGTCAAGTCGTCGTCATTTGATATTGGTAAAAGGTTATTAGATAGCATGTGTTGCTAAGGCTGTAAAAGTATTGTATGTTAAATTATATGCAAGTTCAACGAACGAAAAATATATTAGAAATATTGAAAAAAACAAGAGACCATTAAGGATTAGAGTGATCTTGTTACTAGTTGGGATTTTAAAACAATCCCAAAGTTGACTTCATTATCCCAAGAACACAAGGTTTTGTCGCTAATCCATTTCTTAATACCAACTAATATTATTTATGAATATATCTAAAATATTATAACAATCCATTAATGAATGCATAGAGAAAGCGATCCAGTCACCACGTTATATGTCAGCTAAAACGATGCGATATATTGTTACAGTTTTTATAAGATACAAGTAGAGAGAAGAAGAGTTGTTCAGTTCATATCAAGAAATGGAAATGATATTAGTCTCTCTTTGCTTCACAACTCTCTTAGCATTTTTCTTACTTAAAAAGATCCTTCAACGAACGGCAACCAGCAAAGCTAACCTACCGCCATCTCCATGGCGGCTTCCGGTGATCGGAAACCTCCACCAGCTTAGCCTCAGCCCTCACCGTTCTCTCCGTTCCCTCAGCCGCCGTCATGGGCCACTCATGCTCCTTCATTTTGGGAGCGTCCCTGTCCTTATAGTCTCATCAGCTGACGTAGCTCATGAAGTCATGAAAACACACGATCTTAAGTTTGCTAACCGTCCGGTTGGAAAAGCGACCGTTAAGTTTCTCAAAGGTGGAAGAAATCTGCTTCTTTCCCCGTACGGAGAATATTGGAGGCAGATGAAGGTTTTTTTCATCTTTTCTCCCTATACATTTTCCAAAGCCTTCTTCAATAATTATATGTTCATTTTTTATATTAGTAGTCTCTTTTACCCAAATCTTCATCCGTTTCAAACATAATGTGGTTTTGCTTTGGTTTTAGCCTTTTAGCGTGCTTGTTGAAAAACTCAAAATGTTGTTTCTAATTTTTCTTCGTAATATCGCTAACATCTCAATAGGTTGTTCAAAATGTAACTAACATATGATTTTATATGATCTTCGTCATAGATCCTTGTAATATATAAAACATAGTTACAGAGTAAGGTAACAAACTAGGCAAATCCATGCTTGCAATCCTGATTTTTATAAAATAATTTAGGATTTTTTTTTTTTTTTTTTTTTTTTTTTAGCTTAGTGGCTAAACTATAGATTTGTTTTTTCAAGAGATCATAAATTTCAAACTTAATATGGTAACCACTATGTTTTCTAGCTTTTGTCCTAAAATTTCAAACTGGTGGTTTCTTTTCTATTTTCTTAAAAACATTTGCTGTGAGTGCAGAGTTTATGCGTCCTCCATCTCCTCAGCAATAAAATGGTCAGGTCATTTGAAAAACTACGAGAAGAAGAGTTAAATATGATGATGGAGAAAGTGGAGAAAGCGAGCTCTTCTTCTGCATCGGTAAATCTCAGTGAAACCATCTTTAATATGGTAAACACTGTGGTAAGTAGAGTTGCCCTGGGAAAAAAATATAGCGGTGAGAAAAGCATAGCGAATCTCAAGAAGATGATGAGGGCAGCGATGGATATTGCTACTGTGTTCCCTGTGGGGGATTATATTCCGTGTTTGGCATGGACAGATACAATTCGGGGTTTGGATCACAAACTAGAGAAAATGAACAAAAGTGTATATGAATTTTTGGAAAATGTGGTGCGAGAACATGAAGAAGAAGGTGGCGATAAAGAGAAATCTGACTTTGTTGATATGTTGTTGTGGATCCAAAAAGAGAAGCCAAATGGATTTGAGATTCACAGACAAGACATCAAACTAATCATTTGGGTAAAACAAACCATTCCTTTTGTTGTTATAACTGTTTAGTGTTTCCTATGAAGGCTAGTGGTTATTATTACTAGTTTATTATTACTAGCTTGCTCATTTCCTCAAATTGTTATTAAACATGATCTCTTCTTAATTTTTCAGGATATTTTTATAGCAGGAACAACAACAACTTCCACACTCTTGGAATGGACAATGACTGAGCTTATAAGACGTCCAGAAACAATGAAGAAACTTCAAGAGGATATCCGAACACATTCGAGGAGTAACAATTACGTTACTGAAGAAGAAACTGGAAATATGAAATACTTAAAAGCTGTGATTAAAGAGATACTTCGGATACATCCACCCGCTCCAATTTTGATTCCTCGGCAACTGAGCGAAAACGTCAAGTTAAAGGGATATGACATTGCGGCTGGTACACAGGTAACCTAAACTACACGGAAAAAATAATAATTATGTCCAATATGAGAAAATAACGTAAAATGTTTTATTAATATAGGTGATTATCAATGCATGGGCGATCCAACGAGATAGTGCAACATGGGGAAGTGATGCTGAAGAGTTTAAGCCAGAGAGGCATTTAGATTCAGCTTTGGATTTTCAAGGACAGAATTTCATGTACATTCCTTTCGGTTCGGGGAGAAGACTATGTCCCGGAATAGGATTTGCTATGGCGTTGGCCGAAGTGACATTGGCCAACCTAGTGAATCGATTCATTTGGAAAGTGGAGTCTAGAACAGTTGGAGATGATGATCAATACCATCTAGCTGAAGCTTTTGGTGTAGAAGTGTGCCGAAAGTTTCCTCTAATTGCCTTCCCATCTTCTCTTTGATCCACTCTTCTTGAGCATTTTGATCATTTCTTGAAATAACTATGTACTACAATTTTTTTTCTCTTTTTTTCTTTAAGTACTATAAATTACTCGTTCGGAATCTATCCTTGTCATTCTATTCATGAACACTGACATTTTTTGATGAACAATTTATTATACATGGACATGGAGAGCATTTCCCTCGATTTTGGTTGGTTTTAAAACTAGACAGATTTATATCCGTGTGTCAAGTCGTCCCATTTGATTGGTAAAGCTTATTAGATGTTAGCGATGAACTTGATCAAAGCTTTAAGACAAGTAAACAAGAACACATATGTTTGGGCAATTAAGATTGCCTCTTTTTGGCTTTTTCATTTCTTTAAATACTGAAATTACATGAAGCAAAGTGGAGTCGTAGCTCCTTAACAAACGGGAAAGTGGGAAATGAGGAGAGGGGTTTCCTTAACTAAAGGATGACCAGTTCTCGCTTATTGACTCAACAACTCAATAAAATAACTGAGACACTTAAAAGAAACAATTAAGACACATACTTCTGGTTTGGTTTTCTGATCCGGTTTGACACTCTCTGGTTTGCTTCTGTGATTCCATCATTAGATAGCATGTGAAGGTTGTCTTCTGATTTAAAGGGCTGGCGTTGCTACTGCTACTGCTACTGTTAAGGCTGTTAAAGTTTTGTAAGTTAAAATACATAAATTATATGCAAGTTCAACGAGCACAAAAGATTATAGTAAGATTAAAACAACTAGACATTAAGGATTAATTACGCTTTGTTAAGGGGCTTTTAAGATAATCTTGTACAAGTTGTGTAAGTTAATACAATTCCAAAGTTGACAAAAGAGTAATTTGACTTCATTATCCCAAGAAAACAAGCATTTGTCGCTACTTCATTTTCTTCGACCAACTAAATACTCCATTGTCAGTTGTCATAATAATCCATTAATGCATAGAGGAAGCAAATAAGCAATCCATTTTTAAGAAATCACCACGTTATATGCCAGCTAAAACGATGCGATATATTATTACAAATCCTATTTAATACAAATAGAGAGAAGAGTTTGTTCAGTTCATATCAAGAAATGGAAATGATCTTACTCTCTCTTTGCTTCACAACTCTCTTAGCGTTTTCCTTACTTAAAAAGATCCTTGATCGAACAGCAACCAGCAAAGCTAACCTACCGCCATCTCCATGGCGGCTTCCGGTGATCGGAAACCTCCACCAGCTGAGTCTCTACCCTCACCGTTCTCTCCGTTCCCTCAGCCGCCGTCATGGGCCACTCATGCTTCTTCATTTTGGCAGCGTCCCTGTCCTTATAGTCTCATCAGCCGAAGTAGCTCATGAAGTCATGAAAACACACGATCTTAAGTTTGCTAACCGTCCGATTGGAAAAGTGACCATGAATTTTCTGAAAGGTGGAAGAAATCTGCTTCTTTCCCCGTACGGAGAATATTGGAGGCAGATGAAGGTTTTTTTCAATTTTCTCCCTAATTATTTTCTTCTTGTTAACTATTTATTCATTTTAATATTAGTAAAGAAATAATCTCTTTTATCCAAATCATCATCCGTTTCAAACATCACTAGGTTCTAGCTAGGGCGCGGGAAATGTTTGATTGCAAATAAAATGTTAATTTAAGTGCTACTAATTCATATATGTTGAAATTTACCATGTTAAGTTTTTAATGAGAAAATGATATGTTACTGATCTTATTGTATTATTTGTCCAACTATTATTGTCAAAGAAAAGTTGTGTTCCCTCAACCTAGTCGACAATGAGATATGTCAATATATAGATGATATTTTGATTTTTATAACTAATTAGTAATATTTAGTTTTATATGGACATAATATTTCTCTAACCCGGTGGGAGTAATTTTATGTCATTGTTTTTGGACAAAATGTATCTTTGGATGTGAAATTTTGAGATGTGTTGAAAATTTTAATTTTTGTATAAATGTATTATATACTTACTAAGATTTAATACATCTTTAAGGCGGTGGACATTTTGATTGTATAAATGTATTATACTAGTAGAGGACCCGCGCAAACGCGCGGTGTAACGTTGCGGTTTTGTGAAGAAAATCTAAATTAAACCCGAGCCCGACCCAAAAACCCTAATCAAAATTTTTAAAAACCCAAACCTTTTTAATATGTCTAAACCCGAAACCTGAAATCCAAAAAATCCCGAAAACCCTGAACCGAATAAAAAAACAACTCGAAAATTTTTCACCCGAACCCGACCTAAAAACCCTAATAAAAATTTAAAATACCCAAATTTTTTAATATGTCTAAACCCGAAAACCCTGAAAAATCCAAAAAAACTGAACCCAAACCAAACAGAAATTAAAAAAAAAAAAAAACAAAACAGAAATCCACAATTTGATTTAAATTAGACGTATTTCTATTTCACTATTGGAAATTTTGCAAATATCATTCGATCATATTCTATTGATTTGGTATTATTGATAGTTATGTTAATTTTTCTTTTTGCAGATTTAAGAGCTGGAAAACGGAAGTTTTCTAAACCATCGGTTTGTTTTAAGTTATTATTCTTGTATCCAAACAATTTTTTCCATTTATTCTTCTATCCAAATAGATTTTTCTCTTATTCTTATATCCAAACAACTTTTGTTTCCATTTATTCTTCTATCCAAATAGATGTTACTCTAATTCTTGTATCCAAACATTAGAATGTACTTCTCAATTAATAATATAAAGATACTTATGTAAAACGATAAAAAAATGAAAGCACCATTAAAAAAGTATGATTTATTCTATTTTATTTTGTTTTTAAATTAGTTGTAAATATTTATTTTCATTTGTAGTTGTTCATATTGATTCTGAAATGCCAAAATGATTAAGTAATTTATTTATTTTGAAACTTATTTCGAAATAAATAATTATTTTTTCTTGTGTATATTCATTCTTTCGTAAGATATTATTTCAATGAATTATTTTGGTAAGTTAAAAATTATTTAAATGTGTTTGGTTGTTGTAATTAAAGTAATCAAAATAGATATCTTTGGAAAGATATGTGTTTGGTTATGAGTATATATATGAAATTTAAACAAAAATAATAATATGACTGAAATAACCATAGTGAATCTAAGATTGACATGTGTAATATAACACATTGAACTTGATTATTTTTTCATGTGTTTCTGTTTAAATTGTAGTATAAACTGGTTTGCTTTGGTTTTAGGCTTTTAGTGTGCTTGTTGAATAACTCAAAATGTTATGTTTCTAATTTTTCTTCGTAATATCGCTAATATCTCAATAGGTTGTTTCAAATGGAACTAACATATGATTCTATATGATCCTCATTAGAGATCCTTGTAATATATAAAACATAGTTACAGAGTAAGGTAACAAACTGGGAAAATTATAGAAAGATTTTTCAAGAGATTTTAAATTTCAAATTTAATATGGTAGAAGGTCCAATTTGTTTTCCAGCTCTGAGTTGAAGTTTTAATTAATATTTGCTGTGTGTGCAGAGTTTATGCGTCCTCCATCTCCTCAGCAATAAAATGGTCAGGTCTTTTGAAAAGTTACGAGAAGAAGAGTTAAATATGATGATGGAGAAACTAGAGAAAGCGAGCTCTTCTTCTTCATCGGTAAATCTCAGTGAAACCATCTTTAATATGGTTAACACTGTGGTAAGTAGAGTTGCGTTAGGGAAAAAATATAGCGGTGAGAAAAGCATAGCGAACGTCAAGAAGCTGATGAGGGCAGTGATGGATACTGCTATTGTATTCCCTGTGGGGGATTATATTCCGTGTTTGGCATGGACAGATACAATTCGGGGTTTGGATCACAAACTAGAGAAAATAAACAAAAGTTTATATAAATTTTTGGAAAATGTGGTGCGAGAACATGAAGAAGAAGATGGCGCTAAAGAGAAATTTGATTTTGTTGATATGCTGTTGTGGATCCAAAAAGAGAAGCCAAATGGATTTGAGTTTGACAGACAAGACATCAAACTAATCATTTTTGTAAGACGTCAAACCATTTCTTGTTCTTATAAGTTATAACTGTTTAGTGTTAACTGCAATACAAAGTAAAAATGGATATGAAAAAAAAAAAAAAAAAATCTTCTGATAAAATGGTTCTTATTACTAGTTTGCTCACTTCCTCAAATTGTTACTAAACATGAATTTTTTTCAGGATATATTTATAGCAGGAACAACAACAACTTCTACACTCTTGGAATGGACAATGACTGAGCTTATAAGACATCCAGAAACAATGAAGAAACTACAAGAAGATATCCGAACACATTCAAGGAGTGGCTCTTACGTAACAGAAGAAGAGATTGGAAATATGAAATACTTAAAAGCTGTGATTAAAGAGACACTTCGGATACATCCACCCGCTCCAATTTTGATTCCTCGGCAACTGAGCGAAGACGTCAAGTTAAAGGGATATGACATTGCGGCTGGTACACAGGTAGCCTAAACTAAACACAAAAAATAATTAAATCCAATATGTAAAAATATAACAGAAATCGTTTTATTAACCATAGGTCATTATCAATGCATGGACGATCCAACGAGATAGTGCAACATGGGGAAGTGATGCGGAAGAGTTTAAGCCAGAGAGACATTTAGATTCGGCTTTGGATTTTCAAGGGCAGAATTTCATGTACATTCCTTTCGGATCGGGGAGAAGACAATGTCCCGGAATAGGGTTTGCTATGGCGTTGGCTGAAGTGGCATTGGCTAACCTAGTGAATCGATTCAGTTGGAAAGTCGAGGCTAGAACAGTTGGAGATGATGATCAATACCATCTAGCTGAAGCTTTTGGTGTAGAAGTGTGCCGCAAGTTTCCTCTGATTGCCTTCCCATCTTCTCTTTGATTCACTTACTTAAGCATTTTGATAATTTCTTGAATTTATACAAACTTTCAAGTTTTATGAAATATCAAACATGCTATCCCATAAGCTTTGAGGACACATGCATGATGCATGGATGAAAATGTTTTTTTTGGTGAATGATATGGGAGTTGGGACTCCCATACTTATTTATATAAAAGAAACTTAACCAATACAAACGTTCCTTGGATGCGCGGATCCAATTACATCATCTTGCAACAAAGAGTCTACACTAAGGAACCAATGGCAAACTATGAAAACCCAAGGGAAGTGTGAGTGCATAGTTAGCTAATCCGTCAGCAAGACGATTAGCCTCCCTATACACGTGAGAGATGCGGACTAACCAGTCCTTTGCTAATAAGCCGTGGCACAAGCGTACCAGGAAAGACAGGGGATGAGAGTCGCCAATCCCTGTAGTAAGAAACCCGACCACCAATTCTGAATCTACTTCGACCTCCAATCTTGTTATCTTCTTATCCAAGGCAATATATAAACCGTAGTAGACGCCCCAAAGTTCCGCCAGGGGAGCTGTGCACCTGCCAATATTCAGTCCAAACCCTCCACACCACTCGCCATGGTGGTTTCGAATGACTCCTCCGGCTGCTGCAGGGCCCGGGTTACCTCTCGAAGCGCCATCTGTATTCAGTTTAAACCAGCCAGAGACTGGTGGATTCCAGCCTATCATCCTCTCCTCTCTTGCTGGTTCCGCGCTCAATGTCTTATGTTTCTCTATCGCCTGAATCGTCTCCTTCGCCACATCTTTAACGAAACGAACGCGATCTCGTTAGACTCTGTTTTCGCCAAAGATGTTCCCACACCTCCATTTCCATCCCCACCACACCGCCATGGCAAAAAGAGTTGACCACGGCGAGCCTTGTACCATACGTTCCTCTCACAAGTTTCCAAAGATCCAAGACTAGAGGGAAGCGTCAAAAAATTCCACCTGGTTGCTAAAAGGGACAATTCTTGTCCATATTCCTTTCATCGCGGGGCAATTCCTAACTATATGTAAAAGAGTTTCTATTCCTCCCTTACATACTGGACATATGTCGGAGTCGCACAAGTGACGTCGCTTCCGCTCTGCATTCGTCATAACGCTCTGATTCCCAATCAACCAGAGAAAGAACCGAACCCTCTCCGGCACAGCCGATCTCCACACACGCTGAAAGAAGTCAAACATATTCTGTCTTGGTGTCTCATTCTCTGTCAGCAACGTATATGCCGATCTCACTGTAAATTCACCATTCGGGTTACCAGTCCAGGAGAGCCGGTCCTCTGAACCTGTGAAAGTATCTACTACAACAGACATGAGCTCCTGTCGCGTATTTTCAAACACGAAGGGAGTGATTCTGTCCCATCTCCAGCCGACACCATCCTGCCAAAGATCCCTAGCTGTCAATGTCTCATAATCAACTGGTAGATCATCCCTTGATATGTCTAACAATGATTTGTTGGAAACCCACTTGTCGTCCAGAACTTGATTGACCTCCCATCCCCTATAGTCCATCCATGTCCCTTCAGAATCACATCTCGGATTCCCACCAGCACACTCTTCTATGTAGATGACCAATGATTTTTCGCGACTGTCCAAGATGTCTCTGCCATGCCGCCTACTTTGTACTTGCTCCTTAAGATATGTTCCCACAAGCTAGTATGGTCATGTAACATCCTCCAGCCCACCTTGGATATCATGGCGATGTTCATGTCTTTGGCTGCTCTTATACCCAGGCCACCATCCCGCTTCGGTCTACACACTCTCTTCCAAGGCAACCAAGTGCTGTTTCTTTGTTATCCACACTGCTTCCCCATAGGAATGAACGTGACAGCTGGTCCAGTTTCGCTAAAGTGGATTTTGGCATAATAATAGTGCTCATATGATGATATGAAATTAAGATTTACCTGTTAATTGATTGTAAGAGTCATCGTCTGATATGAATCTATATTGGGCCTTAGACCTTAGTTGGAGTAGACAAGGTCTCGAACCTCTCGGTGATAGGAACTTAGGAAGTTTTTCATTATCCCAAGAACACAAGATTTCGTCGTTTACTTCCACTTTCTTCGACCATCTAATCCCTATTCTAATTTGTTTATATAAATTCGTAGTATCTTTTAGAGTATCATAATTAGTTAAAAATATATGTATACAGAAAGCACTATCCATTTTTTAAATAACCACGTTATATGCCAGCTCAAAGTCAAACGATGCGATAGTACAAAACTGCAAATCCTATAAAATACAAGTAGAGAGAAAAGTTGTTCATGACAAGAAATGGAAATTATATTAATCTCTCTTTGCTTTGCGACGCTCTTAGCATTTTTCTTTCTAAAACAAATTCTTAATCGAACGGCCACCATTAAAGTTAACCTACCGCCATCTCCATGGCGGCTTCCGGTGATCGGGAACCTCCACCAGCTCAGCCTCCACCCTCACCGTTCTTTCGGTTCCCTCAGTCGCCGTCACGGGCCACTCATGCTCCTTCATTTTGGCAGCGTCCCTGTCCTCATAGTCTCATCAGCCGATGTAGCTCATGAAGTCATGAAAACACACGATCTTAAGTTTGCCAACCGTCCGATTGGAATAGCGGCCAATAAAATTCTAAAAAGTGGGAGAAATTTGATTCTTTCCTCGTATGGAGAATATTGGAGGCAGATGAAGGTATTTTTTAAATTTTCTCCCTTATTAGTTTCAAAGCTTCCACTAATTATGTGTTAGTCTCTTTTACCCAAATCTTCACCCATTTTCTAGCATAATGGACAATGGTTTTTTTTTTTTTTTTTTTTTTTTTTTTTGTAAAAAATGGATAATGGTTTTGCTTTGGGTTTAGCGTGCTTGTTGAAAAACTTAAAATATTACGTTTCTAATTTTTCTTCGTAATATCGCTACTATCTATGGTTCTATATGATACAGTATATATTCATTCTAGATCCTTGTAAGTTGTAATATACTTATAAAACATAGTTATTGAGTAAGGTATATAAAATTGTTCTAGCAGGTTTGGCCCTGCCCAAACTTGGCAAATCCATGCTTGCAGTCCTTACATTCATAAATAGTTTCGGTTTTAAAAAAAAAAAAAATTATTTAGCTGGTTGGCAAAATTATATAAATATTTTTCAAGAGATCATAAATTTCAAAGTTTACCATCGTCCAGTTTGTTTTCTAGCTTCTGTTTTTCTAAAACTCAGAGCCAGCTCTGAGTTCAAGTTTTAATTAATTGATGGTTTCTATTTAATTAAAAAAACAATATGCTGTGAATGCAGAGTTTATGCGTCCTCCATCTCCTCAGCAATAAAATGGTCAGGTCTTTTGAGAAATTACGAGAAGAAGAGCTAAATTTAATGATGGAGAAACTAAAGAAAGCGACCTCGTCTTCTTCATCGGTAAATCTCAGTGAAACCATCTTTAATATGGTAAACACTGTGTTAAGCAGAGTTGCATTGGGGAAAAAATTTAGCGATGAGAAGAGCACAGTGAACGTCAAGAAGATGATGAGGGCATTGATAGATGCTTCTACTGTATTCCCAGTAGGAGATTACATTCCGTATTTGGCATGGATAGATACAATCCGGGGTTTGGATCACAAACTCGAGGAAGTAATCAAAAGTCACTATGACTTTCTGGAAAATGTGGTGCGAGAACATGAAGATGAAGGTGGCGATAAAGAGAAAGCTGATTTTGTTGATATGCTGTTGTGGATCCAAAAAGAGAAACCTAATGGATTTGAGATTGATTCACAAGACATCAGACTAATCATTTCGGTAAGACCAAACCATTCCTTGATCTTATAATTTTTTATTTATTTAGTGTTCTTCTAATGCTAGCTAGTGATTTATGAAAAAAAAATAATAATTAAGATTCTTGTGATATAATGGTTCTATTAGAAAGATTAGTCACCTTGTCAATGTGTTTTATATCAGCTTGATTTTTCAGGATATATTTATAGCAGGAACAGCGACGACCTCCACACTCTTGGAATGGACAATGACTGAGCTTATAAGACATCCAGAAACAATGAAGAAACTACAAGAAGATATCCGAACACATTCAAGGAGTAGCTCTTACGTAACGGAAGAAGAAATCGGAAATATGAAATACTTAAAAGCTGTGATTAAAGAGATACTCCGGATACATCCACCAGGTCCAATTTTGATTCCTCGGCAACTGAGCGAAGACGTCAAGTTAAAGGGATATGACATTGCGGCTGGTACACAGGTAGCCTAAACTACACGGAAAAAATATGTATATATAACTATATTCTTTTTTTTTAGGTCAATATATAAAATTAAAATTCAATATGAGAAAAATAACAAAGAAAAAAAACTTACAACAGGTGATTATCAATGCATGGGCGATCCAACGAGATAGAGCAACATGGGGAAGTGATGCTGAAGAGTTTAAACCGGAGAGACATTTAAATTCAGCTTTGGATTTTCAAGGGCAGAATTTCATGTACATTCCTTTCGGATCGGGGAGAAGAATATGTCCCGGAATAGGATTTGCTATGGCGTTGGCCGAAGTAACATTGGCCAACCTTGTGAATCGATTCAACTGGGAATTCGAGGCTAGAACAGCAGGAGATGATGATCAATACCATCTAGCTGAAGCTTTTGGTATAGAAGTTTGCCGCAAGTTTCCTCTGATTGCCTTCCCATCTTCTCTTTGATTCACTCACTACTTGTTCATTTTGATCATTTCTTGAAATAACTATTATTGTATCATTTCCATTTTAAATGTCATTTAAGTATTTTTTCACACATATTAGAAAAACATATTTAAGTTTCTACTATATCCTTAATTAGTTTAATACATAAAAGTAATAAAACTAAAACTGAAACTTTGCTTAAAATTCTTTACTGAAAATCTAAAATGACACTTGATTTGAAAAAAAAAAAAAAAAAAAAAATCTTAAAGCGACATTTAGTATTAGAGAAAACGGTCAATAAAATGATGAACTTACACACTTTTGCCAAAACAAATACCAACTTTTCATTAAACTAAACAAATCACTAACTTGTGTTGACCTAGCCAATTAGTATACAAATTTAGTCAACCAAATCTGGAGATTAATGAGTGTTAAGCGCCGTTTACTGTTCACGTTAAAACAAAACAACGTCGTTCTGAAACAGATGAAACACACAAAAAACCAGTTATCCTTCTTAAATCCCTAATTTCCTTTTAGCAATTCAAAATTTCTGGTTTATTCTCTTCGCCGATTCTCGTTTTCTTTCTCTAATTCTCGTTCTTCTTTTATCTCTATCACTTTGCTTCTCTAGATCTTAAATTTCACCTCTGACGAAAAGGACGAAGTTAACACCACGGCGCAGGAAACGTGATGCTATTGAGGAAGATGATATCGATCAAGATGAGCGTGAGCCAATACCAGGAGATGACTGTGAGGTGATTGTTGATGATGTTGGTGATGAGGTAGCAGATGAGAATGAAGAGCATGGTGTAGCTGTTCGAGAAGTAATTGTTGAAGGCCAATCTTTATCAAATTACTTGGAGATATTGCTAGCAATGACAATGAGGAGAATTATGACAGTGGAGACGATGTATGGAACGACGATACAATACCGGATCCTCTATCATCAGACGATGAGGAAGAGGAAGCAGAAAGGGAATCTCATGTGGATACAATACCACCTGATGAAATTCTAGCATTAGGCAAGACTTTTGGTTGTGCTTATGAGTTCAAGCAAGCGCTTCTTAGGTGCGATAAGAGTTTCTTTGACATTAGAGTTGTTGGAAACTTTATTTTATTTAACAGTGCGATATAAAAAACTGAGAACCATTAAAGAGAAAAGAAGACATTGAATCAATAACAAAAAATATAACACTCAATTCATATGTCAAATCTTCTCAGTTAATTTAATCATGAAAGAGTTGCTGCATCCCAAAACTCCAATCACAAGTTTCGCAGGCACATAGCATTGGTTCTTAGCTCCTTTCTCTCTCAAAGCATCCATTAGAAAGTAACAGAATTTCGTTAGTGGAGGATATCCAAAATAAGAAGAAGAGAGAGTTTTGTACAGAAAAATTGAGGATTTTCTGTTTTGGTCGTATAAAAGAAACGACAACGTGTTAATTAACAGTTACAGTAAACGGAGATTAACGCTAGATTTGGTTGACTAAATTTGTATACTAAATGGCTAGGTCAACACAAGTTAGTGATTTCTTTGGTTTAATGAAAAGTTGGTATTTGTTTTGGCAAAAGTGTGTAAGTTCATCATTTTATTGACCGTTTTCTCTTTAGTATTATACTCCTTGTACGGAATTTAACCTTGTCAGTCCTTTCAATTTTTTTTTTACATCGAAACTCCAAATCTATTAATGTGGTGTGTCAAAGGAGCTAACTCTAGGAGCCAACTCATTCGACATGCCATTGTTTACATGAGAAAAAGGACAATCTCGAGCTCGAGCCTCCTTAAGAAGGTCGGCACGACATTCAAAGAGCGTGGAATTTAAATTAAAGAAAAGGAGATAAACTTAGAGCGAATGGAGAAAAACTCTTCAAACTCAGAGGCCAATGAGGGCCATATGTCTTCATCCTCTATCAATCTGACGAGCTCCATGCAATCAGATTCAAATCTCATGGATGTAAATCCTTCTTGCCTGACCGTATGCATCGTCCAGATGAGGGAGTGGTACTCCGCATGGAGTGGTGATAAGACTTGCATCCCCGTGAAAGATCCTGAGATGCCGTCCTGTGGACTTACATCAAGCTTGAATCCTCCTCCAAAGAATTTGCCATTATGTATCCAAGATGCATCTACCTGTCAGTCCTTTCATTAACAGTGATATCATTATCTTTGATTAATTAACATGGACATTAACATTGGCCAACATGAAAAATATCGACTAATTTTGAAACCAAAAAACTGAAGAAAAAGAGAAAGAGTAAGGTGTAGAGTACTTCTTATGTTAAAAGAGAGCTTTAAAAACAGTGTGAGGAATTTTCTCCCAAAAAAAAGGAAAAAACAGTGAGGGTTCCTCAGTTTTGAAAACGTTTATATACCATGAAAGATATATATAGTATCTGTTAATGGGACAATCATGATTCATGAGTCCTCGTCTGATGAATATGTATTTTCGGTCTCCTACATCATTACAGAAAACCAACTTCCATTGGAGTTGAAAGAATAATGTCGGTGTTTAAAAAACGAAGAAAATGATGTACAATATTAATTCTCACCAGACGTAGAATGATGTAATATTTTTTGACACTGAGTGATGCAAGTATGTAACTTTTAGAGAGAATCAGGTGAATAACAATATTGGGGTCATGAAAGGTGATAACAAACCCCAAATATTGTTTGTTGTTCACAACATTATTTCAATTTTGTCTTCTCTTCAAACATTATCATTAGAGTAACGCTTTCAAGCCCATAATATAAGCCCCCATGACCTTTCACAACCCATACTTCCTTCAATTGTAACGGTTCCCGAGGCAGAAGAATCAGAAAGAACAAAAAACCAGAGCGAAAAAAAAAAAAAAACTGACACGTGTTAGTCGATTGTTGACAACTGGATAATCCTTACCGGCTCAAAATCTGATTCGCTGTCTTCGTCATTCTCATAATACTTAACCTTTATGATTTTTTTTTCCTTCTCTTCCCTTTTAATTTTTCTATTTCAAAAGCCAATATCAAGTTCCCACCCAAAAAGCTTACATATCTGAGAAACTCTATTACCGCCGACGTCATGTCGCCGTCTCGCCGGACGGGTAACGGTTCTCGTCTATTAAATAGCAGAAAACTAAAGAAACTCTTTGATTAAAAACAACATATACTCCGTTAGTATATGACGAAATAGGCCGTTAGTTTTCTTTGGGCCAAATTATGGGTGGAAAACGTGTTTATGTATGTATACAGTATTTTGGTGTGTAACGGTTTTGGTATTTGGTATGTATGTATACAGGAAAAAACAAGCCGAATTTCTGTTACGTTCACATTTATCGTCGGGTGAACCGATTCACCGTGCCTATAAATTTGATGATGAAAATGGAAATCCATATATATCATTAGAGTATAGTGATTGGTGAACATGGAATCCATAACAGTTTTTGGGCCAACAAATGGATCTCAACTTTTTCTTTCTCCTAAGAACTTGTTTCCAATAGGCAAAGTCTCTTACTTTCCCCTCACGTTAGTTCCCACTAAGCCTCCAAAGTTTCTTCTTCGTTTAAAGTCAATTACTAGTCCGACTTGTGATGATCAAGAGAGCAATCGCACGTTCAAGAAATTGCTTCCTTCCTCATGGACTGATCACTTCCTCTCTGTGTCCGTCAATATCTCGGTAAGTCCACACATATATGAGTATAGCTTTAGCCTTTAGCTGATGTATATAGATTAGAGAAGGTCGTTAATGCATGTGAACATGTCTTATTTTAAGGAAATGGATGCGCTTAGGAAAGAAATCGATGCACTGAAGCCAGAAGTGAAGAACAAACTCATGTCTTCGCAAGGGATGGAGTCGACAAAGAAGAGAATCCTTATGATATACTTGTTGGTGACCCTTGGTCTTGAATATCACTTCGAGGAAGAGATCTATGAGACTCTAAAAGAGGGTTTAGGGAAGGTAGACGAAATCATGGATGGTGAAGAAGATTTGTACACAGTTTCCACCATCTTTTGGTTTTTCAGGACATACGGTCACTACATATCTTCCGGTAAGGAAGTCTCTAGAAATACGTGTGATCACGATCGACGTTTGCTACAATTTTTTAAAAAACTAACTAAATAATTTAATTATATGTATAACACAAGTTGGTCTGTTTTGGTCAATAGATGTCTTTAGAAGATTCAAAGGGATCGACGGAAACTTCAAAGAATTGCTTAAGGGGGATGCCAAGGGTATCCTGAGCTTGTACGAGGCAGCGCACTTACGAACAATGACGGACTATATACTGGACGAAGCATTGATCTTCACATCAAGCCAGTTGAAGTCATTTGCTGAAGATGGGACTTGCCCGCCATATCTCTTGTTGCGTATACAAAATGCTCTCACTCTATCTCAGCGTTGGAACATGGAGATGGTAGCCGCAGCGGAATTCATCTCAACCTACGAACAAGAAAAAGACCATGACCAGACGCTACTCAAGTTTGCTAAGCTCAATTTTAAGCTAGCACAGCTCCACTACCTTCAAGAACTCAAAATCCTTACAGAGTATGTATATATATATATGATCATTTAGACATTTACTAGTATTTTTATGGCTTGACTTACAATCCTCTATAAAGAAGTTATCCTAACTTATCTCTTTGGATACAAGATGGTACAAGGAGAAAGACTTTGCGTCTAATTTGCCGCCTTACTTCAAAGATAGACTCGCCGAAAATGATTTCTTTATACTAGCAGTGCTCTTCGAGCCACAAGTCTCACGTGCAAGGATTATGTATACCAAGTTCTACACCATTTTGGGGTTTGTAGATGACACCTTCGACAGATATGCTTCTCCTCCTGAGGCCTCTAGCCTCCAAAACAGCCTGGAAAGGTGATCCTCTATGTATTAAAACTATATATAAATAAATAATTATGGTGATGATGATCATTGATGATGATGATGATGTACAGGTGGGCTCCCGATCATACCATGGATCAACAACCTGATTATTTGAAATTCGTGTTGCATTTTATATTGGATACTTACGAAGAGTTTGAAAGAGAGCTTAAGCCACAAGGAAAACCTTATAGTGTGAAAGCCAATATAGAAGAGGTAACCAATCAAACTATTTATTTGCAAGTATGATTTAATCAAGGGTAATAAATATTTATTGAATGAACTCGCAAGATTGTTATTAGTTAAAAAAATAAAATGGTATTAAATTATTTAAAAATGATTTTGATAAACGTACAACATTTCATCTTTGTCTTATAATTATAGATCTATACATTTGAGCATGTGTAGTTAAAAAGAGTTGTGAAAGCCAACTTTGAACTAGCTAAATGGGCACATGCGGCTCACGTGCCTAGCTTTGAGGAGTACATGGAGGTTGGTGAGGTGGAGGTGGCGGTGTATGCAGCTTTGGCAGCTATTTGTATGTGTATGGGAGATATGGCTACGAAGGAAGCTTACGAGTGGCTAAAATTAAAACCAAAACTCGCTAAGTGTATATCTGCCAAATGTCGTCTTATGAATGACATTTACGGCTACGAGGTAAATCTCTTCACATCTCCGATATTGTCTACATGCTTTATTCTAATGTCACAAATCCCCTTGATTAGGATGACATGAGTAGGGGATATGTCCCGAATGCGGTCAGCTGTTATATGAAGCAATATGGAGTTACAAAACAAGAAGCAATTAAGAAACTTCATGAAATGGTTGTAGATGTTGATAAGGCAATAAACGAGGAGCTCTTGACGACAATGGGTGTATCACGTTTGCTTCTCAAGGCATCAATGGGTATGGCAAAAATGATTGCTATCTGTTACAATGGATATGAAGGATTCACCCGTCCTGAAGGAAAAACCAAGGAGTACATAAATTTGATGCTTGTTGAACAAATCCGTCTTTGAAGACTTTGGAAAAATGTTTTAGCGTGTGGCTTATGCGTTCTTGGTTTCTTTTACAGTGCCGTGTGTTTGATATCTGCGCTCTACCTAGATCGGACATCCTTTAAGAGCCTGATTGGTTCTCCCGCTACCACCCGCAAACGCAGCGTTTGCGGTTCGTAGCGGTTTTCGACGGTTTATAACAATCACGACAACACTTTGAATCACTCTATACCACTCTGTACCGCTCTATATCGCTGAAAATTAAAAACTCCTTTCCGCAAGCGTTTGCGGTTGCGGGCGGTTGCAGGTGAATAATAAAAAAAAAAAAACACAAACTTATATAAAATCCGAAAATAAATAATAATATTTATTAAAAAATAAGATTTGGATAATAAAATCACAATATAAATAAAAAATTAGTACTTTTAGTCAATATTCATTAAAATCATATAATACTTATATATTTAGGTGATGATTGGTTCTCCCGCTACCACCCGCAAACGCTGCGTTTGCGGTTCGTAGCGGTTCTTGGCGTTTTATAACAATCACGACAACCGCTTTGAAGCGCTCTATACCACTCTATACCGCTTTATATCGCTGAAAATCAAAAGCTTGCGGTTGCGGTTTGAAAAAAAAAAAAAATAATAATAATAATAATATCTCCAAATTTGGAATAAGGGTATATTCTTTTGGGTGAATTAGCTAACTGACCATATTGAGACTACAATTTAAGAATATATCCATATTGAAACCATTATGTAGAGAGTAACCAAATGCTTTTTTTCTGGACAAATATACCCTATCAAGATGCTTCACGTAGAATAATAGACTCGAGTTCCGGGAAAAAAAAAATAGAACGCCAACATCATCTTCTTCCTCTCGACTTATAATCATTTTTTTGTTTCACAACTCACAAGTTTTAAGCAAACTAGAAGAACAAAAACAAAGTGACCAAAGTATTATTGCACAACGGCCATAACCTATAGACAACTGAAAATCAAAAGCATAAGTCCAACCGGGATAAAGATTTGCTAAGCTTTAAGAATCATGTAACATTTACTAAAATCATAGTTTCTTTACAAAATTATTAAAGTTAATGAACCAATTACAGAATCCGGAAAAACTATAACCGGAATTGTGATTGTGATTATGACATCATGCGTCGGTTGAGCGAATCCAGTTTCGGGTTATTTGGATTGAACAGTTATGATGACCTGGTTAGGATTGCAGCATACGGAGGTGAGATTCGATAAGAAAAAGAAGAAATCGAGATTCGGTTAGTGGTCGTTCAGGCAAGATATGGAAGTGGCAGGATTTGGGAGAAGGAGAATGGATGTTATCTTAAGGGGACGAGTCGAAGGGATTATGATTAGAACTGTTCTTCTTCTGGATAGATCTATGGTAGCTTTCTTTTTGTTTTTTTCATATCAACGGTGGAGCGAAGCGTAAGTCATGAACACCGTAAACGTTGACGGAGGAGAATGGTGGCTGCCGTCGGAGGTGACCGAAATCAGTTCCCTTTATTCGGGCAGGGTTAATTTTGGTAATAATGTAACTTATACAGTCTGTATTCTAGCTAAACACAAAATATGGCTATATCCTTAATTTACCATTTTTTTATGGTTATTCATTGATAAATCTTTTTTTTTTGAAAAATACCCTAATTATGTTTAAAAATTTCGAAAATACCCTAAATTTTTTCTGTTTTGAAAAATACACTTTTAATGTAAAAAGTATGTTTTGACGTGATTTAAACAAAAAAATAATAAATAATTACAAATTAAAACGAAAATTAAAAAATAATAAATTAATAAGTTTTTTTTCAAATAAATATAGTATATGTTAAACTTGAAACAAATTTTAATATTTTGGATCTTTATATAAACAACTTAACCTCATACACATTCCAACCAAATGAAACTTTAAATAAATTAAAACTTTACATATATTTAAAGTTTATAAATTATTAAAAATTTAAAAGTGGAGAAATATATCTTTCATTTTTAATGTTTATCTTTTGAAAAATTTAAATATTTTTGAAACTTTATATAAACAACTTTAATCTCACCCCATTTAAACTTTATATAAACAATCTTATATTTTTATTAAATTTTTAAAAAAAACTAAACAGGTAATTAGGATGTTTAGTAAATGATACAAAATTATTATCAAATATTAATATTTTATATTTCTTATTTGAATTTCGTTTTTATTAAATTAGGAATAATCATTTCACATATAAAAAGTGTATTTTTCAAAACCAAAAAAAATAAGGGTAGTTTTCAAATTAAAAATTCATCAAAAAATATATTTAAAAAAAAATTATTAATATATGGTTATAAATGTTTTGAATAATTATATATTATTTTATTTTAGTAACTTTTGGTTAAACCGCTCTTGCACCCGCTGGCTAACCAGTCAAAAATATCCCGCAAACGCAACCGCTATGAATTGCTATACCAGTCGTACAAACAGCTTTTAATCGCAAACTCCCGCTTCCGCAAACTCCCGCAACCGCAAACTCCCGCAACCGCAACCGCATCAGTCAGGCTCTTATAAGTTCTACATATTAAAATTCTCTTCATAAATATTCTTTTTATACTATTACATATATATCTAATAAATAAAATTGTAAAATAAATTTAATTTTCACATTAAATATATATTTTGAAAATAAAATCACATTTTTATTTAAATTATAGAAATTAAAAGATAGACGTAAGTATTATACACATATTATTATTTATAAAAAAATATTTTTAATTATGTTGAACCATAAATTTAAAATTTTCATTATAAAATATTTTTGATATTTTTATAATCATATGATGTGTTTATATTATTAATTTATTGTTTAACCGCTATTGCATCCGCAAGTGAACCAGTCATAAGTAACCCGCAAACGCATCCATTTTCAATTGTTATGCCAGTCGTACAAACCGCTTAATAACAGTACTAATCACAACTGCCCGCTTTTGCAAACTCCCGCACCCGCAACCGTAACCGCAACGGTTAAACCAGTCAGGCCCTAAATGAACAAAAAGCTTTTCATGTATGTTAAAATGCTATAGGGGATTACATTCCTATATTCTGGTTAAGATATATATATATGTATTTTTTAATTTGAGGATATATATATGTATTTATTAACATATGTATGTATTTTATATTTTTGGATATATATATGTATTTTTTAATTTTGTTGGGTTTCATTAGTTTTAGTTTGTACCCCATTAAAGTCTAAAAAAAAAAAAATAATATGAAAATCTTATTATTAAAAAAATATGACCACCATGCAGACAAAAAGAATCAGACTGTTGGTGTGTTGCAATCTATTGCTTTTTTTCTTTTCCTAAATATTCTTAAATTTATTATTTTCTAATAAATTATTTCAACTATTTTAATAACAAAACATTTTTTTAACTCAGCCAAATTTACTTTATAAATAATATAAGACACTAGATTAGGTAGATCCCGACTACGCGGATTTATAATGTTTTTTTCTTTTACAATCTGTAAAATAAAAAGAAAAAAATGTTTCAAAAATCCGAACAATTGTAAAACTAAATTAAATAAATCTTTAAGAATTCCAATCAGAAATGACCAAGAGATAAAGAAATATAAAATTACATATACTTTTTTTTGATAAAAAAGTTTACATATACTTTCTAAAACATTTCTAAAAATAAATTAAAAAATCATTAAGAATTCCAATTAGAAATATCCAAGAAATAGAGAAATCTAAAATTTCATCTACTTTCTAAATCATACTCCCTTCGTTTCTTTTTACTTGTCGTTCTAGGAGATTTCATGCAGATTAATAAAACAGATTAAAAATTATATTATATCTTTAAAAGCAAATTGACTATTAGTATTCTTCACTAGATCAAGGTTAAATTAGATATTTAATATTAAATTTTGCATTGGAAAGTGAAAAAGACAACTATTTTGAAACAAACAAATAAAGTTAGAATGACAAGTATTTTGAAACAGAGGGAGTATTTGACTTTTATTTTATGAATTAACATAAACCTATTAAATATTAGAATATGTAAAAATAAGATTATTAGTTTTTTAATTATTTAGTTGCCAGTTAGTTTATTAGTTATGTTAATTGATTTCTAGTATCTTTTTGTTAATTGAAAATTTCGTAATCCTACAATATATTAAAGACCATACATTTTTGCTGATGTGGCAAGCTCACAGTTTTTTGGACTCATTTTTGAATTATTTAAATAATTACATTATTATTCGGGTCGAAAAACGGATAAACACGCGGATCCTTAAAACGTTGACGGATACTTACTTTATTTAACCCGGTTGCTGGGCTTTTAATATATTGTCTTCTATTATGGATCAAATTTAGGAATATGGATGGCCCAAAGTTAAGATTCTGCAAACTTCTTCGTTTCCATAAAATGATCTTAAACTTTTTCTTCAAGTTTTTCGAGTTTCCATATATATATATATATATATATATTTTGGTAAGCAGTTTCCATATATATATAATCGTCATAGTTAAGGCTGCATCTTATTGCTTAAAATCTAAATACGAATTCAACTTTATTTCCTAAATGTAATATTCGAATACTATATAATCTATGTATGATCCGATTAACAATTACAATGAAAACCTTCTTCCTCAAGTAAATTACTGTATTCCTTACTTTGACGTGCCTAACTTAATTGTTTGAGAGATTCCTAAATTGTATATCCCGAATCAGAAGAGAATAGGGTAAAGTGATGTTCATATTTTCTATTGTATAACTACTTTCCTTGCGATAATGTATGACAATTAATGAGAAAGATATTGCAGACAGTGGCTTAACCTAAGTAGAGAAGCATCACCTCATTTTTCTATTTAAGCAGAGTATTCTACATGTTTGCCTCTCATCATCCTTCAGATCGAAATATTTAGGTTTGAGTTATCATATGAGGTTACTAATCAATCGTAGGTATGAAGGATCCTTCATCTCTCTCACTACTCATATGCTTCCTTCTTCGATTTGATCTTCCACTTTAATCCTCCCCGATTTTGGTTTCCAGCTCCGTTGACTCCTCTGTCTCTTTACAATCGTTACCACACGAAGAAGAAAAAGAAAGTTTTAACCTTTACTATGAAAGTTCCAACTGTTTCATATATATATATATATATATATATATATTTTGTTTGTTACTGTCCGTTTTCATTTCTGCTTTGAAACTATGAGATCACAAAAAGGAATCTATGGTGAAACCACGTAAGCAAGCAAGACGATCTAGCCCCAATAGTGGATTATGTGTAGTAAGATTTAATTTGTTTTATTATCTATTGGAATTTGTGTTTGTTTGCTAAGTAAAATCTTTATGCGATTATAAATCATTTTTTCTGATCTATTTGGTTTGAAATTAGATGAAAACTTGAAGATTTCACTGTAAATATTAGTAGGTATTTAACATATTTATTTATTTATTGACTGATAATGATGTTATGATGATGTAGGATTTGAAATGGGTATTCGATACACGAAAGCGGTGAACGAAGAAAAACTATTATCACTCCGGAATCGGGAACTTTAGTTTGTTCCTATTTTTATACGTACGTTGTTATTTTATATATATATTTTTGTAATACGTTGTACGTTGTTATTGGCGGTATCATTTGCTGCACCATTCATTCTTCCACACATCGTGTACAGGTATTTTATGGTTATACCCATTTAAATTATTATTTGTGTTAAAAATTATTTACACTTAGTTTGTGCTTTAAATTATGTATGCAGATACTTCACACATGGTCTATGGTCTCACATCTGCTCCGGAAATGAAGCTTCCTTACAAGCAAACAAGTGGAAATGAAGATTTTAAAGAAATGTTTTTTTTACTATTAGAATTTTGTTTATTTGATTATTCAAATGCCAAGTTATTGCCATTTTCTTTTGTTAAAGTATTGCCATGTACTATTTGCAGTTTCTTCTTCTCAATTCGGAATAAAAATCATTATATGCGTTACTGGACCAGAAAAACCTATTATTTTATGTCATGTTTTCTTAGTACGTAAGCATTACTTATAGTTTGTAAAAGCATGGATATTTTCAATATATGAAAAGAAAACTATTGCGATATCTAATGTAAGGAGGGGTGGGGAGTGGATTTGAAATTTTTGTTTTGAAAAAAATATATATTGCGGGAAGTTTTAGGAATCAATTATCTATTTCAAATCATTATTACTTTATTTGCGGGAAGTTTGAGGAATTAATGTATAAAATCTTTCAGAAATTTGGTTTTTATAACCATGTCATTCATATAAAATTTAGGAAGGAGAAAGATTTCTATTTTTAGGCTGAAAATATGTAGAATCATATATTTAGAAAAAAAATATTATTGGCGGATAATTTGCAGATTTAAGCTTTAATAACAAAACCCCAACCATAATTAACTAAATTAAAAGTTAACACTAATCCCGTGCATGATGCATGAAATATTAAAATGTAAATTGTTACATAATTTTTTTGAGTGAAATATCAAATATGTAATGGATATTCCTATTTTTTTGTAATTAATGGATATTCCTATTTGTTGTATCGATTTTTAGTTATGCGTTTTGAAGATAGTTTCTTCATCACTGAATTTTTAGCATTTTTGCTGAAGTTTTATTAAATTTTGTTAAATAAGTGATTTTAAAAATTTGAGAAACGAATCACATAACATAAGTATCTTTTCAAAATAAAATTTATAACTCATCATATACTGTATATCTTCGAAAAATAGAATGTGATAACAGGGATAATATCTATTTTTAAAATTAATTTGAGTTTCTTTATTGTACAAGTATTGATTGCAAAAAAAATGAACACATTTACTTCTTCTGTTGTGGGAAATTTGTGGAATCAAATTGCTTTGGGAAATAGTTTTTGGAATAATGGTTTCGATGAACAAAGTTTTGATGGGAAATTTGTAATACAACATTTTCTGGAGATTTGGTTTTTGAAATCATGGCTCTGATGAAAAAATTAGAAATAAAAATTTGCGGACTCATCATATTTTTGAAAATTAATCCATAAAATCAGATTGTTTGAACATATTCTTTTAGATAATTATATATTGGATATTGCTATTTTCTGTTTTTCTCGATTAATAGTTATGTATTTTAAGAAAGATTTTATTAGGCTAATTTTTCTTAGCATTTTTTTCTAAAGATATTTTAAATTGAATTGAATCATAAGCAATTTTAAATATTTTGAAATGATTCACATAATTATTTTGAAAATATTTAACAGCTAAGATGAAAAATAACATACATAAATCGATAACCGAGAATTCATACTGTATTTAAAAATAAAAACCTAAATATTTTTAATCAACAACAAAATAATATATGTTAAGAAAAAAGAAATGAACAGGTGAAATTATAATGTTTTCGATCGAAAACATAAACAATATATTTCTTTTTATATGTTATAAAATATTAATGAGAATACTAAGAAAATAAAGACATACCTATTAGGGTCTATAAAAATTAAAATTAACATAACATAAAAAAAATTAATATTAATATTACCCCGCGCATTATGCGCGGGAACACATCTAGTAATCATGACATATGTCACAATTTCTAAATGTTTAGTTGATATAAAAATATGCTTCCTCCAGTAAGTCTTGTTTATTTGAAAAATATAGGGCAACTATGACCTGCCAATAACCTCTGGTCTTTGTTTATCGTAAAATAATGGCTGGATAATAGTTTCGGTCTTCCAAATATAATTCTTTTAAGATTTACGTAAGTTATATTCCATTTGAGCACATGCACCTACCCATTTTCTTAACCTACAACAAATGATAATTATACATACGATGAACAATCTGATCGATTTCATATAGCACTTATTATTGTAGCAAGAGTTTTCCAAATGATCTTATAACAGATAGTTCTATTTGCATTACAAATATCATTATATCAACAGTGGACGGTCTTCTCTACACTACACACACAGTAAACAGTTTTATTTTTGACAGATATATATGATCACGGAAGGTTTTTCCTACAGTACTTTACTGTACCACTACAAGTCTACGAACAAAATGTTCGATAAATCCACCTCTAATAATTTGCCATAATTCATGTTTTTGTAGGATTCGACTCCCAACTTATTATATAAATATCAAATAACTATTTGTTCAGGATATAAAAGTAAAAATGGCAAACTTTATCAAAAAAAAAAAAGAAGTAAAAATGGCAAATGAAATAATGTCAACACTGAAGGAATAGAAAATGCGAGACAAGGGAGCTTCCACCATCCATATATATAAACCAGCTTTTAAATATTCGAAGTGGCCACTTAATTACATTAATAAATTCAGAATAAAAAAATTGAATTAAAAATTAAAAATAGAAATATTCTTTTACTAAATAAAGAAATGATATTAAAAATCAAAGTCTTTTCTAAAACAATGATATTAAAAAATTATTCTTTATATTAGAATATTATTGTTATATTATTGTTATATATATATATATATTTATAGTAATTAAAAGTAAGAAAAATAAATAAACAGGAATAACTGAACATTAGTTTTCTCAGTTATAAAATCTCTTACCCCCAGTTGTAAATTGTAACTAATAGGATTCACATATAGGTTTTTCAAAATTTATTCAATAGACAAACATATATATGTGTAGTATAGTTAAAATGTGACAGCGTATATTTTTGTTTAGTTAATACTCCTGAATCTATCACTGGTTCAACCCTAATGATTTATATATACCTAGAGGGAGTAGATAGGCGTCAGAAATTATATAGTTTTATGGGAAATTGTAAGATATACCCATGGATAATAAGAAAATTAGATTAGGTTTTCTGACATAATTTTGTACAGTATTTTGTCTAAGAAAATTACTATATGCCCCTTTTATTTTATTGAAAGAAAAAAAATGTGTAGTACTAATTGATTTTGTGCATTTTTAAGATTTAAACAACGTGTTAATTGTATTAATTAACATGATAATTTCAGACGTTTATTATATGATAATTGGCTTAATTTTATATGTTAATTTAGTTAACATAATAATTAAATAGTGTTAGCATAGTAACTGGATAAATATTAATGATAATATATCGAGTTAACACGAAACTGAAAGGTTATCATAGTATATTTTAGTTAGCATGGTAATTAAAACTGTATAGAATCAGGTGATGAATAGTTTCAGTTTTTTATTATATGATAATTGGTTTAACTCTATATATTAATTTAATAAACATGATAATTAAATAGAGTTAGCATAGTAATTGGATAGATATTAATGATAATATATCAGTTAGCATGGTAATTGAAAAGTTATCATAATATCATCTTTGTTAGCGTGATAACTAAATAGTTACCACTAAAATTGCATACAATCTGATGATGAATAGTGTAACTGATTTCCTGATAAATAGTGTATTTTGTGTGATTAATGAACAGTGTAATGAATTATTACCAATGGCATTTTCGTAATTTATTTTAAAAATAAAGGGCATCTTTGGTTAAAACTAATTTCTCTCTCTGTATCAATCTAATTTATGTTTATTACACACCACATTCTTAATTTTGATGTTATCTATGTATATTTGTTAAATTTACCCTAGTTTTATTAGTAGTGGTCTTTAATAAGTAAAGAATGGAGTATCAACAGCTAAAATTTCTGACCTTAAAATTGATTTTCTTTGTGATATGTGTGATAATATTAACATGCATCTAAGCCAAAAAAACAAGAGATGGGTTCATTTTTACTTTTGAATGGTTTTACCAAAAAAACCCCTAAACCCCTATATATATATACAGGAGAGAGTAGAGACTGAAATCAACGTTTACAATTAGATATGAAGATGATATTAATCTCTCTTTGTTTAACCACTTTCTTAGCCTTTTTCTTCTTAAAAAAGCTCCTCAAACGATCTAGCACCACCAAACTTAACCCACCACCGTCTCCGTGGCGACTTCCGGTGATTGGAAACTTCCACCAGCTCAGTCTCTACCCTCACCGCTCCCTCCGTTCCCTTAGTCTCCGTTATGGACCGCTCATGCTCCTTCATTTTGGCCGCGTCCCGGTTCTCATAGTCTCCTCTGCTGATGTAGCTCGTGACGTTATGAAAACACATGATCATATCTTCGCCAACCGCCCAATAACCAAAGCAGTCGATAAAGTTATGAATGGTGGTAGAGATGTGGTCTTTGCCCCCTATGGCGAATATTGGAGGAATGTTAAGGTTTTTTATTTTTATCTTTCTTTTTCTAATAATGGAAAATTTCATGTGGAAACTAATAAGACCATTTAACAAAAAAAAAAAAAAAAAAAAAAACCTAAACCTAATATATAGGATCTCTAGAAAGTAGTTTGATAGCTAAAAAGAAAAGAAAAATAATCTAGAGATTAAAAAGTCAGGCTGTCTTGTCAGTTGTCAATGAGAAAGAGGGCATAAATCAAATGGCCTTTGGATGATCGCTCTTTGGTTCTTTATATGTGGTTTTCTATATGATATATAATCTCTCAATGTTTTTTTTTTGTTTGCGTGCAATATAATCTCTCAATGTTTTTGTCAATCATCAATAAATAAGAATGATCTATATTATAGTGATATAGCCTAAATTAACTTTAAAAACTGATTTGGATGCAGAGTTTATGCATGGTGCATCTCCTGACCAACAAAATGGTTCGGTCCTTTGAGAAGGGGAGAGAAGAAGAGATTGAACTTATGATGAAAAAGCTGGAGAAAGCGAGTTCATCATCTTCAAAATTAAACATAAGCCAACTTTTTATTACCCTGACGAGCGATGTAACGAGTAAAGTTGTTTTGGGAAGAAAATATAGCGGTGACGAAAGCACAGTCGATATCAAGATCTTAGTGAGGACATTCGCAGAGGTCTTGGGCACATTCCCTATAGGGGATTACATTCCTAGTTTGGCATGGATAGATACGATACGCAATTTGGATGGCAAAGTAGAAGAAGTAAGTAAAGCGTTCGATGATTTTCTGGAAAAAGTGGTGCAAGAACATGATCTAGATGCAGATATAAAAAGATCAGATTTTGTTGATACGTTGCTGTCGATTCAAAGAGACAAGATGACACCATTCGCTTTTGATAAAAGCGACATAAAACTCATCATTTTGGTAAGACACAGCATCACTCGCTTATAGTTATTTACTTATATTATATATACTTATATATAATATATATACACTACGCATCACCATCCGTATGGTTTGAAATATATATATAGTGCATGTGAATAAAAGAAAATTATATTGAATTCCTTTATGATATTTTATCAAGTGGTGTTTTGAATGTATGCTAAGAAGTTAAACTATAATAAATACTTTAAAGCTATTGTGTGAAATAATATGAATGGATTAGAATTTGATAGGATTCTAGCACTTATAATTTATTTTAGATGTTGAACAAACACAACAAAATTCTCTCCGGTAGTTATCTTAAATTGATTTTATTAAAACTCGTATACTTACTAAATAACCAATATATTATTTTTTTAAAAAATTGATAATATAAGGCATACATACCTCTAAATATATAGATGTTTATTAATTATAACGATAAAGAAGAAGAAAATATTGATTCTTCAAAATATATATATATATATATATATTTTTTTTTTGTCAAAAGTGCAAAATATAATTTAATAGGGGAAATTTCAAAACTACACCTCTTTAGGTGCGGATTTTCAAAAATACACTTCTATGGTGTCTATTTTCAAAACTACATTTTTTTTCATTGAGTAAAAGAACTCTAAACCCTAAAATATATAAATCCAAAACCCTAAAATCTAACATTGAACCCTTAAATCTAATATAGAAGATTGTATTGTGTTGATGAGAACAAAATGAATTTGTTGTTGCTCTTGTTTTAAGGACATGTTCTTCGGAGGAACGGCATCAACATCTGCACTGCTAGAATGGACGATGACTGAGCTTATGAGACATCCAGAATGTTTGAAGAAACTTCGAGACGAGATTTGTACCAGTTCAACGCATAATTTATATGTAAAGGAGGAAGATGTTGAGAACATGAACTATTTAAATGCTGTGATTAAGGAGACACTTCGGTTGCATCCCCCACTGCCAGTATTAGTTCCCAGACAATTAAGCAAAGATGTCAAATTAGATGGATATGATATTGCTGCAGGCACACAGGTAACCTCTTTATATGTAACTGAAACATAAAAAGTCATCGTATAAGTTAGATACTGTTAACAATTATACCTCTATAAGAAAGAAAAGGAACTGGCGCTTGTGGCCCGGTGGTAAAAGACCATCAGCTGAGGTACCCGCCACCTGGGTTCGAGTCCCAGCCACAACGGATTTAACATCCTTTCCGTTGGGGCGCTGGACCCCACTTGTGAGGATAGTCGGGAATGTGGCTGCCCGAATACCAGAGTTATCAAAAAATAAAATAAATAATAAGGGAGAGAGTTTTTTTTTTTCTTTTTTTTTTATATTTTACGTGCTAAAGTAACATTGAAAATTGAAATGAAAGACAAGGTGGAAGTTCCTTAGATCAAATATAAGGAAATTTTGTTTGTAATTGCAATTGGAAATTGTAACGCAAATGAAAAACAGCACTAGCTAAGATTCACGTTTACGTATATGTTTCGCAAATAACGTTAGAAAAAAAAACATATTATATTGTCGACACCTGTTACCTGGTGTAAGCTAGTATATATTGTTTTTCAAAAATAAAATATTTTTTTTTAACAACAAAAAATAAAATATTAATTATTTTGTTAGTATACAAGTTTTAATAAAATCAATCTAATATAATTACTGAAGAGAACGTTACCAACAAAAAAGAAAAAAAAAAATTACTGAAGAGAAGTACATTAGTAGCATTCCATTTAGCTATTTAAAGTACGTAGTAGTAGCATTTTAAGCCCCATGTCTTATATTTTTTTTCTTATCAACCCAATTCTAGATTAATGACAAAAACGTTTTTAAAAAAAAATCATGCCATGCAGGTGATATTCAATGCGTGGGCAATCCAACGAGACAGTGCGACATGGGGACCGGATGCGGAGGAATTCAACCCGGAGAGGCATTTAGATTCACCCTTGGATTTTCAAGGACAGGATTTCAAATTCATTCCCTTTGGATCAGGGAGAAGGTCATGTCCTGGAATCAGATTGGCATTGACATTGGTTGAAGTGACAATAGCAAATCTTGTGAAACGGTTTGATTTGAGAGTCGAGGTCGAGCCACATGGAGATGGTAAGCCTGATTTAGCCGAGTCCGCTGGTATCGAGGCTAGCCGCAGGTTCCCTCTTATTGTCTTTCCAACTTCAGCTGTGGTCCTCCTTTAAACTTACTTCATAGTCGAATCGATTGATGATGGTTGAAGCAAATAATGTGATTCATCGTACCATTTAATGAATTACGAACCCAGATCTATTTTGTGTCTAAATTTAATCTTGATCCACTTAAGAGAAGTCTTTCAATGTCTACCAAACTTTTCTTTGACATAAATGTTTGTCAAACATTTACATCAAGTGATCCTCCAAACTTACATCAACTCAACTGATCCCATAAATTTGATTGAATACAAACATGAAGTCTCATCAATGGACTATTGATCACGAAACCATTGACACTCATTCCATCAGGCCTTTTTTATTACTGAACCTGCGTCATTCAGCATTTTTCATTTTTCTCTGTATGTGAGTTTATGCCCTAATCCCATTTCACTTCTATGCTACTTTTACACAATTTTTTATTTGCTGGCCTCAATGGAATGTTGGATTTCATTTATGTCAAACTCCAAGGTGATGGATTAAAATTCATGAATATGTCCTGGAAAATGGGGTCACATCACTTTGCTCAAAGTTTCAAAGGGTTAAACATTTTCGGGAAAACTGGCTGTGTGGTTTTCAGATAGCGTGCAATAAATCAAATTCGCCAAAATGTACTAATCCTCTCAGCCCAAAAACACGCAAGCAGCCTACAACCGAGATTCAATAGAGAAAGTGGTCAACGATATCGTTTTTTGCCTCCCGGGAAACCTGTTGATGATGGTTTTTGTGTGTGTGTGTGTGTCAGTGTGTGTGAAATTGGCCTATGCTGTTGTCATAGTGTTGTCCTAGTCAGCAAATGTTAATTGTTAAACTCATACCGTATGCAGTTTTGATGGAATTGATCACTAAGTTCATGTGGTAAATTTAATTGTTACGAGTTTGTGTTGTTAGCAATGATTCATATGCCGTGTCTCCACAAATAATCAGCAATCAATTAGTTTACAAAGAAATTGACCGTTTAAATTTGAGACGCAAATGAACAGACGTTGACGATAAAATGATAGCTATATCATACAAGCTATTTTCTTTTTAGGTGTTGATTGGTTCACCCGCTGCTACCCGCAAACGCGCGTTTGCGGTAGTAGCGGTTATTGGCGTTTGACAACAATCACCACAAACGCTTTATACCGCTTCAAACCGCTCAAGATCCCTCAACATCCCTCAAAATCAAAAGCTCCTTCCCAGCAGCGTTTGCGGTTGCGGGCGGTTGCGGGTGGATAATTAAAAAAAAAAAAACACAAACTTATATAAAATCCGAAAATAAATAATAATCTTTATTAAAAAATAAGATTTGGATAATAAAATCACAATATAAATAAAAAATTAGTACTTTTAGTCAATATTCATTAAAATCATATATACTTATATATTTATAAGTTCTACAAATCAAAATTCTCTTGATAAATATTCTTTTCATACTAATACATATATATCTAATAAATAAAATTGTAATATAAATTTAATTTTCACATTAAATATATATTTTGAAAATAAAATCACATTTTTATTTAAATTATAGAAATTAAAAATAGACGTAAGTATTATACACATATTATTCTTTATAAAAAAATTATTTTTAATTATGTTGAACCATAAATTTAAAATTTTCATTATAATATAGTTTTGATATTTTTATAATTATATAATGTGTTTATATTATTAATTTATTGTTTAACCGCTATTGCATCCGCAAGTGAACCAGTCATAAGTATCCCGCAAACGCATCCATTTTCAATTGTTATGCCAGTCGTACAAACCGCTTAATAACGCTACTAATCACAACCGCCCGCTTCCGCAAACTCCCGCACCCGCAACCGCAACCGCAGCGGTTAAACCAGTCAGGCCCATAATTTGTAAAACTAATCGCTCATGAGTGATGGCCCTCTTCATAACTTACAATTATTTCCCAAACCTAGCAACTCCATGGAAAACAAACAAATAATGATTATCATAATCTTTGCAAATTGGTAACATTGTTTTTTCTGATAAAAATTTAGAACATTGTTAATCTATGGTTTTCCTTGTTCAACAGGAATTTCTGAAAGAAGAAAGTACCAGCGGCGCCAGCAAAACCATACGCTGATAAACAAAAGTGTCCGTATAACCACAAATAATCTTGAAATCTGATGTGAGATTTTTACACAACAAAAGAAAAATATCAATAGTTAGGCAATTTATACCAGTTTAAAAAAAAATAAAAATAAACCTTATTATTTATTAGATACATAGATTGTATACTTTTTATTCAATGAATGATATGACGTTTATTTATTTTTTACAAAATATATGATAAACATAAGTTAATTTATTTTTCAAATAACTCTGAATTTTAGTTATTAATAACTAATTTTTAAAAATAAATCATTAAAAATATCCTTACTATCAACTATCTCAGTTTTAAACAACTAAAATTACTTCTATAATAATTATATATCCACCTCCTATTTCAAAATGTTTACTCTAAGAAAGTATCGTAAATTGATAAATTAAAGGGCACATATGCGCCAAAAAGCTCTGGCCTTTATCGTAAAATAAGGCCTGCGAAAGTCTTTAAATTTTTAATTCTTTAAGACTTGCGTAAGCTCTATTATGTGGAAAATAAATAAAAAAACTCCATTCATAAAACAAAATTATTTAAGACATGCATCTACCAATAAAAGGCCATGCCCATTACAGTACAACCTCTATAAAACAATACTCGATAAAACAATAAACACTATAAGACAATAATTTTCTCCGGTCCCAACTCGGGTCAGTGTAAAAAATAGCATAATACGATAAGATGATAAGACAATAATATTTTTGAAACTCCTATGTAAAAATATAGTCCCAAGATAATAATTATAAAACTAAGGCATATATATCTAAGACAATTTAGTAAATTATGACTCCAATGTAGTTTGTCTTTTCTGAAAGTTGGATTCCCGTTGGAGCTCATCTCGAATTTTTCTTATTGCATCTACAATTTCTGGTATGTATTCTCAACTTGCAGCCAAAAGTTGTGAAGAGTTCTCGAAGCCACAATTGCTTAACTACTTGCACATGTCTTTCCTCATCATCTTCAACTTCATCTTCACCATTAAGAACAGTAGATATAATTTCTTCTAGATTTTAATTTGAATAAAAAAAGTGAAAAAACTATATGTCTATAAAGTTTCTTGTTTTTGGTAGAATATTTCTATAAAATAATAATTATTGTTTTATCGATAAAATAACAATTATTGTTTTATCGATAAAATAATAAGTCTATAAGATAATAAAATTTCAAAGTCCCAACATTATTGTTTTATAGAGGTTTTACTTCTAGTATTCCATCCATTCTTTTATTTGTTCCATCACTAGAAAGTACTATTATTAACCTACTGCAGATGATAATTAATTATACATTAACGACAAACAAATCTAGCTAGTCTCTTGCTGCATTTATAATCATAGCAAACAAATCTAGCTAGCTAGTCTCTTTGCTGTAGATAAAATTATCCGTTATAATTATAGCAAACAAATCTAGTCTCTTGCCACAAATGATTCCATAACGGATAATTTTATGGGAGATTTGTGAATATACCCCAAAAGAGAGAACTATTGTCCCCTTACACTTTTTTTGAAATTTATCAAATCTGGACTCTAATACCCTTACATATGCTAGAAATATGATATAAATATATTTAAAAGTTTTAAAAAATTAAATAAATTAAGTAAAATGATTCTAAGGTTTAGAGAATATTTTCACAATTTGTTTTTGAAATTTGAACCTCAGAAAAATAAATAAAATTTGCATCTACCAAATTCATTATTCAAAGTAGAATTTGTCTTCTACTAGAGACTCTCACATCTATCCCTCGTAGAACATAAAATCTACCAACTGTTCAGCCATCTACCATCGTAGAATTTGCTTTCTACTAAATACTCTATACTCTACGAGTTGGTAGAGTTGTAGAACATTTGTTCTACGTTGTATACGGTTTTCTACCGTTGGTAGAACCTATATTCTAACCTACACATTGTTTTCTACCATCTCTAGAATCTATATTCTATCATAAACAATTTCTTCCACTATTTGGAGAATTCGTGTTCTACACAAAATACTATCTTCTACTATTTGTAGACTTTGTGTTCTCCTGAAAACAATGTCTTCTACTGTTTGTAGAAACTATAATCTACATTAAACACATTTTTCTACGAAATGATAGAATTCAACTTCTACGAGAATCTAAAAAATATAGTAAAAATGGTAACTAAATATTAGAAAATATCTTCAAAAACTATATTTCCTTAATCTACTTTGCCAGAAGAAAAAAAAGAATTCTCATCACGTTCTTCTTCTTCTTTTTTGCTTTTTCTTATCATTTATATAATTTTCTTTTAGATTATTTGTTTTAATCTATTTTTCTCAGGTTATTCTGTTGCATATCTATATAACATATGGAGACTGAGTGCAATCAAATGGTGGAATTTCGTTGTTGGTGAGGCAAAAGGAACTAGATTACTTGCTTTGAAATATATTTTTCTTTTCTTAAATAATTAATTATTTATTTGTTTATTACACTAATCATTTAATTTCATTTATTAATTATTTATTTATTTGAAAAAATCATGAAAACGTAATTTGAGGGTTAAAATTGGATTTAAAATTTAATTAAGGGTAAGTGGACAAGATTTGGCAAAAAAAGAGTAGATGGACAACTCTTCTCTTTTTCTGGAGTATTTTGCCAAATTTCCCGACAATCTACAGTATATCACAAATATCAACAATCGATTTTTCCTACACTTACACAAAGTCACAAACAGTAGACAATTTTGGGTCTGATTGGAATATCATGTTAGAGTAACAAAACAAATGGAATTTTCTTTTTTACTCACATTTACTTTAAAAGTAGGGTTATATTTCCCTTCACATTGTTTTTCTTGTTTACCATTTTACTCACATTTTAAATAATTCATCTGTTTCAAATTAGTTGTCGTTTTGGGAAAATGTATCTATAATTATTTGAATGTATTAAATTCAAAACACA